CTGTCTGCCTGTCTCCAACTGAGCAAGAGCAAAATAGTCCAACACATTTCTTATTTTTTCTTTTTCCATCTTGTTGTTATTGTTAATTCTTTCCCTAATGTATTTTTCCTTTAGATTTCTTATTGTAAATTTTATTTATTTTTATTAATTAATTAATACATTTTGGTTATAGATGTTTCTCCTTTTTCTTTCACTGATTCCCCCCTCCCTCATCCTCCTCATCCTTTCCCCAGCTTTGTTGTTCATGTTCAATAACATGCTATTTAAGCTCCATGTTTTTTGTTTGTTTGTTTGTTGTATCTTCACCGGAGGACATTTTTTCATCTTTTGTTCAGTTAGAGTGGGAGAAACAGAGAGGAAAAGAGACAGAGCAACATCAACGTGAAAGGGACACACCAAGTGGCTGGGGACAAACTGCAACTGAGGTACATTCCCTTAGTGGGAACTGAACCCGGGTTTTTTGGGACTGCAGGCCCACGCTCTAACCACTGAGCAAAACAGTCCAGGGCTAGCTTCCATGTTTTTAAATGTCTTTGCATGTTCTTGTTGCAATTGATTTCTAGTTTCATGCCATTGTGATCTGAGAAGATGCTTAATAAGATTTCAATCTTCTTGAATTTGTAGAGATTTAATTTGTGTCCTAACATGTGGTCTATCTTTGAGAATGTTCCATGTGTATTTGAGAAGAATGTTAATTCTGTGGCTTTGGGGTGTAATTCTCTGTTGATATCTATTAAATCCATTTGATCTAATGCTTCATTTAGAGTCTGTGTTTTCTTGTTTATTTTATGTCTATAGGATGTATCCAGTGATGTCAACGGGGTGTTGAAGTCCCCTGGTATGATTGTATTGCTGTTGCTTTTTTTTTTTTTTTTTTTTTAAAGTTTTCCAAAATATTTTTAATATACATTGGTGCTCCTATATTGGGTGCACATATGTTTACCAAGGTTATATCTTCCTGTTGGATAGATCCTTTCAATATTATGTAGTGGCCTTCTTTGTCTCTATTTATGGTCTTCATTATGAAATCTACTTTATCAGATATGAGAATTGCTACCCCCGCTTTTTTTTTTTTTTTGCTTTCTGTTTGCTGGAAAGATTTTTTTCCATCTCTTCACTTTCAACCTATGTGAGTCTTTGATGTGAAGTGGGTCTCTTGTAAACAACATATATGTGCATCATGCTTTCTTTTCAAGTCAGCTACTCTGTGTCTTTTTATCAGAGCATTCAAACCATTTACATTTAATGTGATAATTGATATGTACTTATTTATTGCCATTTTTGATTAGTGTGGTTCTATTTTTTTTCCTAGTTCTTCTACTAATTTCAGCAGTCCTTTTAGCATATATTGCAGTGCTGGTTTGGTGTTAATATATTCCCTTAGCCTTTATTTTTTTGGAAAGCTTTTTATTTGACCTTCTATTTTGAAGGACAGCCTTGCTGAGTAGAGTAGTCTTGGATTCAGATCCTTGTTTTTCATGAGCTTGATTACTTCATACCACACCCTTCTGTCCTGTAGTGTTTCTGTTGAGAAGTCTTCTGAGAGCCTTATGGGGTTTCCTTTGTAAGTCATTTATCTCTTCTGCCTTTAGGATTCTGTCTTTGTCTTTAATTTTTTGTATTTTAATTACAATGTGTCTTCATGTGGGCCTGTTTGGTTTCTTCTTACTTGGGGTTCTCTGTGCCTCATGAACTCGAATGCCTTCTTCCCTCACCAAGTTAGAAAAGTTTTCTGTCACTCTTTCTTCAAATGTATTCTCTAACCCTTGCCCATTTTCTTCCTCTTCGGGGACTCCTATAATGCGAATGTTTTTACGTTTCCAGTTTTCCCACAGTTCTCTTAAGCTGTCTTCCTGTTTTTACATTGTTTTTTACTCTTTTTCTCTTATTGGTTGATTTTTTTCTACCGTGTGTTCTAATTTACTGATCCGGTCCTCAGCTTCCTCTACACTGTTGGTTAGTCCTTCCAATGTGTTCTTAATGTATGCTGTGTAATTCTTCATTTCCACTTGGTTGGTTTTCAATGTTTCTATATCTTTACTCATGGTGCTAATGTCCTTACTCATGCTATTGACCTTTCTCAAGATCATATCTCTGAACTCTACCTCTGATAATTTGCTTAGCTGCATTTCATTGATTTCATCTTTGATAGAGTTCTCCTGTTTTTCATTTGGGATTTGTTTTTTTGTTTCACCATTTTAGCTATCTTCATGAGTTATGGAGCCTGCCAAATTTTCCCTGTTGGTGTTAGTGTTCTGCTCTTCGTGGCTCCCTCAGCTGGGTGTCTATGAGCCTGGGTGGGCTCACATTAAACACCACTGTCAATTCTTATTTTCCTGGGTAGATTTTCAAACTCAGGATAAATTCAGTTATTCTCTAGCTTTTTCCTGGTGGCTAATACTCTCAGTTACTTAGTGCCTTTGAATGTAGCCTTGGTGTTCTGCATAAGAGAATTTTCAGAGGGTGGGATAGATTCTGCTTGTTAATGAGCCTCAATTTGCATTTCTTTGCCTCACCTGTGAAAGGTTGAATCTCTGAGGGGTGTGGGGGCTGCTGCTTTTTTCTACAGCTCTGGGAAGGAGCACAATGGCCACCATTCTTTGTGGTCTCAACTCAGCAAAAACTCTGAGTGCCCTCCAAATCTCGCGTGTCCCCACAGAGTACCAGCTCAGTCTTCTCTCCTTCTTCCATATCCCCCAGGTGAGTGGCTATGGCTATTTTAGCACTCTTTTCTGGCTCTCTGGACTGTGGAGTGGGCTTGGTATTTATTTTTCAAGGTCACTGCTCAGAATTAAGACTGCTGATGTCCGACGGCTCCCAGCCTGCCACGCTGTAATGCTTCTGCAGATCCTACCAGTGTCCCTGGTTATGTGGTCCTGTCATGCTGCTTTTCTGTTGCTTTTTCCCTAAGGATTTGTCTTTATTTCAGTTGTAATTCTCGTTTGGTCCTGGCAGATTGTCTGCGTAACTTCTATTCACTCCACCTTCATTTTTTTACGTCCTCTACGCCAATCTGGTGTGCAGCAGGGTGGCACAGGTCTTTCTGCTTCCCCAACACTTTGCAGGTCCCATGGGTAACTGGATCCCCTTTGGGGACTGGCTCTATGCCTTTGTTAAAGGCTGCTGGGTTACACAGGCATCTCTGGTGCTTCAGCACCCACAGGTCCCATGGGTAGCTAAATGGCACAGTCCCTGCTGGGTCACACAAGCATCTCTGGTGATTCAGCACCCCACAGGCCCCATGGGTAACTAGATTGCACAGTCCCTGCTAGGTCACACAGGCCTCTCTGGTGCTTCAGCACCCCATGGGTCCACGAATAACTAAATCACACAGTTTCTTTTTGGTTGCACAGGCCCCAGGTGCTTCAGCACCCCACAGGCCCTGTGTAACTAGATCACACAGTCCCTGCTATGTTACACAGGCCTCTGTGGTCTTTCAGCGCCCTGCAGGTCCTGGGTGTAATTAGACCTCACACTCTCTGCTTGGTCGTACAGGCCTCTTTTGTGCTTCAGCACCCTGCAGGTCCCAGGGGTAACTGGATCGCACAGACCCTGCTGGGTCACACAGGCCTCTATGGTGCCCCCACACCGTGCAGGTCAAGTGGGCGGGCAGCTGGATCTCACCAGTCTCTCTGGGGCTTGGGTTTCTCATTGCTCTTGTGGGCTGCTGGACTGCACAGGCCTCTATGGAGCCCCATGTCCTGCCACTGGCAGCTGGGAAGTGCTGCTGTCCCATGGGGCTCAACTCTTGCTTAGCTTTTTTGATAGTTTTTGGGGATGGTTTTCAGCTCCTGGTCTGTGCTTCTGTTGCCTGAGGATGGATGTCTGCTCCTGAGTCTCTGTTGCTTGGGTATATCTAGACTCTGATCAGGCTGCTACTATGGGGGATGGTGCTGGGCTCTGGGCTGTCTGAGGTTTATGTGACCAGCACTTGGGGAGCTCCACTACTGGGCACTGGTCTGTGTTGACACAGAGTGTCCACTGGTACAATGTTGCCTAGTGTGCTGGTGGGTTCAGGTTCCTGGGCCCTAGTGGCTCCCCCTGCCTCTGCCCAGAGAAGATCCAGGATCTTCCAAAATGGTGGGGCCTCCACCAGGTGCAGGGAGAACTGCCCTGAAGAGCCACTTACCATGGTAGTCAGCTGCTCCACAGCACAGGAACCTTCTGCTTCATGTCTCTGCACTGCTCAGGTTTGGATGTCCAGCTTCCCATACACTCACATTCTCTAACACACTCATCCTACCTCATGTCCTGCCCTCCACCATCTTCCATACATCTTCCCATTGGATTTTTTAGACAGAGTCCAAGAGAGGGAGGGAGGGAGGTGGAGAGAGAGACAATAAGAGAGAGATTGATGTAAGAGGAGCACATTGATCATTTGCCTCTCATGTGGCCTGGAATGGGATTGAAGATTGAACCTGCAACCCAGGTATGTGCACTTCACTGGAAATTGAACCCATGACCCTTTGGTCTGCAGGATGATGCTCTAACCACTGAACCAAACCGACCAGGGCTTATTTTCTTATCATTGCCTCTGCTCTTTCTTTTTTGTGGACCCTCTACACTGTCTCCTGAAGATGTAGCATCACGGCTGAGGGGAGGAGAGGGTAAAATATCCTCACTCATCCCATGCGGTTCCTTCTTCTCTACTTCCCACAATGTGAGCACATCAGAAGGGCCAGTTGTGGCCTGGTAGCATCTCTACCCCTCTCTTCAACCTGAGGGAGGACAGAAAAGGAGGAACATGAGAGAAATTAATTCTTTTTTCAGGTCCCTAATTTCCCTGCTCCTTGTGGCCTCACCATAACCAACACATTTAAGAGACTGGCTCAAAACTCCCAAGATTCACAACTGAGGCCTGTCTTAGTGGGTAAGACTGGAGCAGGGAAAATTGACACAGGGAAAAGCATCCTTAGAAAGAAAGAATTTATTTCTAGCATTTCAGCAAAATCTATCACTAAGGTCTGTGAGAAAGGGAGCATCACATGGTGCAGGAGGAAAATTGTCATCATGGACACGCCTGGCATCTTTGACACCAAGGTACCAGCTGCCAACACTGAAAGGGAGATTGCTCATTGCATCGTCCTGACTTCCCCAGGGCCTCACGATGTGCTCCTGGTCGTCCGTCTGGGCCAGTACATGTGGGAAGAGCATAAAGTGGTAAAAAAGATGCAGACGATGTTTGGATCCAAAGCCAGAAGGTACATGATTCTCGTCTTCACTTGGAAAGATAACTTGGATGGAATGGAGTTTTATGATTATTTAAAGGAAGCTCTTAAAGTCCTCCAAGATCTGGTGGCTGAGTTCAGGGATTGCCACTGTGTGCTCAACAATAAGGCGACGAGGGCTGAGCAGGAGGCTCAGAGGGCCCACCTGCTGGACATGGTGCAGCGCGTGGTGATGGAAAATGGGGGAGGGTTCTACACTAATCAGATGTTCCAAAGGGCTGAGGTGGAGATTCAGAAACTGATCCATGTGATACAAAAACAAAGCAGAGATTAACTGGAGAGGGAGAAAAGGCAGTTAAGAGAGGAGTACAAGGAGAACATCAGAAAGCTGCAGGATGAACAGGAGCGGATAATGAGAAAGGCAGACATGGAGCGCACCCTGGCAGAAAGGGAGAGAAGCTGTGCTGAAAGGCAGCAGAATGCCAGAGTTGAAGCTGAGGGTCAGAAAGACATACTTGACGTAATCTTGACAGTATTTAATATTGATTTTTTCATTTTGAAACTTGGATTAAAGGATGTAAGGGAATGAACATCTGTCTATATTTTTGGCATATTTCTGGGTGCTCCTTCTCTATATAACTCATTCCCCAAAGTCAAAGCACTCTGTTTTCATCTCTCAGGACTAAGGAGTGTAGTAAATGTCTTTGGTAGACATTTGGATGATTTAACAGGGAACAGACACTTTCCCAATATGTAAAGCTTTAAGGCAGAAAATGTGGATGTGTCCTGTCTTCTGAACTCTTTCTCAGACACAGATGAAAGGAAGGTAGGAGACCAACAGAGGAGGACCCCAAGCTTTCTCTATTCATCCCCAGTAACCCTTTCTCCTCCAGATACTCTCTATATTGGCAGATAATCTCAGCCTGTGGCTTTTCTTTATTTTTGCCTTTTGGACAAAAATGATCATTTGGCCCATGTGTTTAGAGAAATCACTATTTACTTTATTTATTCTATAGTTAGAGATACCCATGGAGGAGAACGTGTTGAATTGCGTTTTTACGGAAGGACTGAGATTGTTCCTTATCATCTGCTCAATGAAGAACAGAGAGTTGTCTGGCAAACTGATTTCTGAGAATTTAGCCAAGTGAAATGCCAGAGAGAGGAAAAGACAGAGATTCCACAGATAAGAGAACAAAGGGTCATATACTCAGATGTTTCTGTAGAAATTCAATGACCAACCTCAATATAATCATTTCTCTGAGTAAGTAGTTCTATATTATTCTTTTGATCTTTATTCCTTCCTTCCTCTTTATCAAAAAAGTAAATCCACACTTACAAAAACATTTCACCACATTTCCTTTACCCCACAGGTATCCTTACTGCTGTGCAGGCCATCCGCACACTGCTGCCTCCACCCACTTTCAGTGTTTGTGTGCTGTTACCATAACAAAACTTTCTTATTCTCTCATATTTGTGCAAAATTGAATTTCTTTTACCTTAGAAAATACTATTAGTATTTCTTCTAAGAACACAGAAATGAATTTCACTTTTTGGTGAAAGTCAAGATTATCTTTTTCTACCCTCTAAGATGTCTCTCATTTCCCCTGAATGTTTAATCCATGTTCTTAACCACTCCCCCCATCAGAGTTCACATTCTCCTTGGATTCCTTCATTATGTGCTGATAGAGATTGTGTAAAACCAAGATTTCTGAGACCCATGTAGGTTTCCTGGGGAAAATTTACTCAGTATATGGATAACAATAGTTGAAGTCTTACCTCTTTCTACTGGGTACTCCTACTCCAATAATTTCTAGGATTTCCCAAAGCATATTACCATGTTATACCAGCACATTCTTATGGTCAGATGCCACTGTCCTTGATATGCCATCCTGAAATTGGCTTCTCCATGCACCAAACAATATTTCCCCCAATAGAACATATACATCTCATTTACTTCCCCCAAACACAAATCAGAATGGTCTGTACATTTAAAAAAAGATAGTAAAGCAATAAGGATAAGAGAAGCACCACAGAATGAAGCTCATGATTCTTTTAGAAACAGTCACTCACAGGGACACAAGTTTGGTTTGGAAGTAACTCTATTTTGACCCTCAGTTTACTGCACGTACACACCCTTGCAGTTTTTCGTAAATGTGAAAGTCTTGAGAAAACTATAAAGATAAAGAAATGGATTAATGATGGCTTTGGGAAACTCAGAGAAACCATGGAGAGAAAGAGATTAATGATTGCCCTGTCCTCTGTAAATAGCTCCTCTTGCTCGTTCTGTATCAGTTCCCTCCTTAACATTGCCAAAAGCGGCATCAAGAATATAGTTGTTTTTTTGTTTTTCTGTAGTTGTGCCTTTGAAAGCAGGCAACAAAGAAGGCTCAGGGCTGTTGATTTGAGGAGACTAAGACCCCCACAGCCCACCGGTGAATAAGGTGCTCTTTTACAATTCAGCTGTGTGTCTTTGGTTATTTTGCTGACACGTTACAAAATTTGAAGGCCTCACCAAGGTCCCTGGTGCGCTGGGACAGCAGGGGTTAGACACCTAGGATGAGCAGCCTCTCCAAGTCTGGCTGCCAGACACCTAAAGGTGTTCATGGGAGTTACAACCTGAGACATTCCAGGGCCCTGAAGATCCTACTTAGGTTTCTGATGAGGGTCCTGAAGAATGTACTTAGGTCTCAAGGTCCTCATATTTAAACAACTACAACAAGCATATGGTCTATCTGGGTGAGAGTGAGAGTACCAAATGTGGCACAGCCTCTCCTCTCCTGGGAATCCCCCTAAAACATTAGGTGAGGTTCAAATTCTGTTCCCACAGGATCAGGAATTTTCACTGGCCTGCCTCTGAGGCAGAAGGGGAGTCTGATGACCTCCCAGGAACTTGTGGAGTATGATTGTGTGTGAATGTAACTGTGTGTGAGTGACCGTGCCCCACAACACTAGTTACGGAGCCTGTGTACGTCCTTACCTGTGGTTCTGAAATGACCTTATAAGGCTAAGGGCAGTATCAGATTTTTGGGGACATTCCAGTTTCCACCTGAAAACCTGATCTGTACCAGGGTTTTATACCAACCTGCCCGATGCCAAGAGGCGTCTAAATATTCTTGAGGGAAGATGCCAGGTAGATGAACAGTAAATTTCTGTCGTGCGTGTCTTCCCTTGATTTTGTCCTCACCTGCCTCCCTACTGTGTCTCCCTCAACTTTGTTATGGTTAGTCTAATCAGGAATTGTAGCCCTAGTGCCCAGAAGACCTCATTGGGGTGCATATTGAAACATTATTAGAAAAGGATTTGAGGAAGGCTCTGATTAGGGCACAAAAATATCTGAAGGAAAGTTAAGGACCTTCTGTGAATTAAATTGACCCACATTCAGTGTGAGCTGGCCTGACACAGGGTCCTTTAACCCTGACGTACTGCAGGCAGTTTGGAATCAGGTCCCAGGAGATCCAGGACCTCCAGACCAATTTCTCTATATTAATCAATGGCTTGATGTAATAAGGCATCCACCCCATAGTTAAAGAGCCATGTCCTCTGAACCAGGACAGAAATACTGGTAGTGGACCTCACTCTGGGCCTCAAGAAAAACCTAGGAAGCGGTAGGAAAGCGACTGCAAGGCAGAGATACAGTAAAAGACCTACAAAGGGCTCCCAACTAAAGGGGAGAATTTGCTAAATCTTACATCCATCAGTCAAGGATCTGAAGGGCCATATCAAGGTTTTGTAGCTGGGTTGCTATAGGAAGTCAACAGAATAAGAAGTCACTCAGGGGCTGAATCAATAGTTAAACAGCTTGCTTATGAAAATGCTAATAAGCCCTGCGGGGAGGCACTGTGCCTTTACAGTAAAAAATCTAATATATCTGAAATCATTTATATTTGTTTAGATATTGAGGCTTCCCATATACAGGGGGCCAAAATAGCGGAGGTGTTGAAAGAAGTTCTCTTTTCTGGTACGGCAGAAAGAAGCAGTAAAGGATGTTACTGTGGAAAGCCAGGTCATTTTGCTAGGGAGTGTAGGCAGCACACCAGCACCACCAAGAACCAGTCAGGGAAGTCTGCCAAGAAGCCAGGACTATGTCCTTGCTGCCACAGGATACATCTTTGGGCCAAATATTGCCATTCTTGAATTAATATCAATGGACAACTGCTTGAACCCCAGCAGGAAACAGGCAAACAGGGCCTGCCTTGGCCCCATCAAACAATAAGGGCTATGTATGTCACCCCTGCTCAAGTGTTCCAACCAGAGTGCAGTCCAACACTACAATCTGGGATCTCTACGGTGTCACCTCAAGGAATGCAGGGCTGGAGCCCCATCCTTCTGCCACTCTCAGAGGAGGCTAATATTCCCTGCTTGCCCAGGCCTTTATGCACAAGGAGTGGCCACTATACCAAGGAAGGGGAGTGGCTTCACCGCTGTTGTCCAGACCTGCAGTCTTCCAACCCACTTTGGAGAGGCAGTGGGGCAGTGAGCTGTGGGCGGATGCACAGGCACGCATCCCGAGGCAGCCAGGGCCTCAGGGTTCCTTGGGAAGAGCGGTCTGTCTGCAGAATAGGAATGTTCCTCTAGTGCCAACCCGGGTGCCTCGTCTGTGGTCCCAGGTTTAGTGACGTCAAATTTCCAACAGGTTTCTCTGAACTTTGTGGAATTGAAAATAATAATCCCGGGCAACAGTGTGAAATGCTCTTGGAGAGAGTTGAAAAATGCTCTGCCCCACATTACACGCACACTAGCATGATGATTTCCTTTTTTGCATCCTTTTGAAAACATGGAGTCAGAGGAAATTTTCCCATCCCTCTGTCTGCTGAGGATCCCAAATACTGCCAAGGGAGGGCTTCTTTGGATGCTTTTCACCTTGTTCTCCTGTTAGGCCTGAAGGCCCAATTGGTTGAAATAGCTCTAAAGGTATATAATAATAGGTACACCCATGGGGAAAACAAGACAAAAGAATAGCAAAAATAATATCACCCTTAAGGGAAACAGGGCACATGGACAAAAATAATCCTATGAAGGGAATCATGAGGAAGGATCAGGACTAGGTCTAGGCCCCGAAGAGGGATAGAAACGACAAGGGCAATTCAGGTGTAGAAGAACAAAATAAAAAGCCATTCATGAATGACAATAGGGGACAAACTAGTCAGTTACCTAATAAATACTGGTGCAGCATACTCAGTCCTGACAGAGCCAATGGGGCCCTAACCTACCCCTGGACTTCAAACAGGACTATAGACCTTGGGTAAAATTGTAACTCACTCATTTAGGGTCATGCCAGTGTGCCCATAGCCCGTACTCAGACGTGATCTCCTCCAATGATTGTTCAATTACTGGCAAGTGCCACTCCAGGCCAGCCCCACATTAATTACCACAAGACATTGGCCATCAATCCTGTCAGCTTGCCTCCAGACGATGACCCAGAGAAATCTCTACAGGACTGCCTGGAGGTAACTGACAGTGCAGACGACCCGCCCAGACCTCCCACTTCCATCATCAAATGAGGTATTGTTCACAGACAGAAGCAGCTATTTCCAGGAAGAAATCAGGTAATAGGGACTCTGGACCATGCCATTTTGTCACAGTCCTTAAAGAGGGGAACTTCAGCCCAAAGAGCTGAACTTATCGCCCTAAAACCAGTGGGACCTCTCCAGATACACTAGGTCAGAAGATGGCATAGCCAAGCAGATACAAGCCATAAAGTAAATCAATGGATGGTAGACACTGCCTGATGGGAGGTTGTGGGTCTCAGAGCCTCTAGGTCAAACTCTGGTCAACCAGCTACACCAGACTACCCACTTAGGTTACACCAAGCTGACTGAACTCCTGAGAGACAGATAATGTCCAATAAGATCACAGGGAAAGGGAGAAGGTTAAGGGAAAAGCAAGAATGTGTGGGTATGAGTAGGGAGAAAGAGAAGAAAAACTGGGGGATGTGCAGACAGAAGATAAATTGAGCAAGCCCTCAGGATCATGGCAGGGAGGGGACTGAAAAAGTCACAGAGGGTCTGTCAGCAAGTTGAAGAAGGATTGTGGAGAGGGAAGAAGCAAAAAGAGAAAGAATAGAGAAAATTAAAAGATAAAAAGGAATAAAAGAAAGGGACATACATATTACAGGAAGACAGGGCATTGGAGGAATACTCAAGAAGGGAAGAAAATCGGATACTAAATGAGAGAGGGAGAGCTTGACCCTGGTAGTAGAATAACAGTGTGGGATGTAGTAAAGAGAGTAACAGGTTTAGGCTACTTCTGACCCTTGGAGAAGACAATGGCCCTGCCTTTATAGCAAAGATATCACAGGATATCTCTAAAGAGTTAAATATAAATTAGAAGCTTCATTGTGCTTACTGACCATATTATTGGTAGGTAGAGCACATGAACAGAACCTTAAAGGAAACTTTAACCAAATTTACTTTAGAAACCAGTGAAAACTGGACCACTCTGCTCTCCTTGCCCTCTTACAGTTCTTACAGGCCCTGCAGTCCATCCAGAAGACCGTCCATAAGCACACCCATGAAGCCCTGCCTGTGCCCACCGCAGACCCTGTATAATCCTTGCAGCCCAGGGACTCAATATGGATAAAAAATTTCACCACCCAGAAACTAACTCTGGTCTGGAAGGGATCATACAATGTCATCCGAACTACACCAAAGGCTGTCAAGGTCAAGGCAACCTGGCTGCACCATTCCCAGATGATGAGAGATAAAACAAAATAGACGGTCCAGGTGTCTCATGACCTCTTAAAGATGAATGTTTTGCATTTATCGGAACCTTAATTTTTATGCTTATGATTGTTCAGGGAAATTTTTATAGATCTAGGCCCCAATAGAATTGGGAACTCAGAAATAGAATATTGGGAGTGGTCTTAAGGAGGTTTCAGAAAAACAAAAACTATACAGAGGATAGTAAATTCTATAAAACTCCTTGTAATTAAGGGCCAAGATAGCCCTGTCATAGAAAAAGAAAAAAAAGTCAATAATTTGAATTATAAATAAAACCAGTGGGGATGAAGTAACTCAATTCTGACCCTCAGTTACTGCACTTGCATACCCAGGCATTTTTATTTTTATTTATTTATTTATTTTTTATTTATTTATTTATTTATTTATTTATTTATTGTAAAATGGGGGCTTTGAGAAACCCAAAGAAGGCTATGAAGATAAGGGTGTTAATGTCGGTCTTGGGAATGTCAGAAGAACCATGGAGAGAAAGAGATTAATGGTCGCCCTGACCTCTATAAACAGCTCCTTTCGCCTGTTTTGTATCAGTTCCAAACCTTAATGGTGCCAAAAGCCGCACCAAGAATGTAGGTTTTTTTCTGTAGTTTGTGCCTTTAAAAGTAAGCAACAAAGAAGGCTGGGAGCTGTTGGTTTAGGGAGACTATGACCCCCACAGCCTGCCAGTGAATAAAGTTCTTTTTGAAAATTCAGCATGCGTTTCCAGCAATCTCACTGACACATTACACCAGTTTCACTCTGCAGAATATGGTGCGTACTGTGTCTATTGTTTTCATCATTGGAGATTCAGACCAATTCTGAGGTTGGAATTAGACATCTTTTTCTATCACAAGCTTCTAGAAGCACACGTTTAACAAAAGAGCCCCACATACCTTGCTGGGAAAAGTAAATAAAAGTTTAATATGAAAAAATCATTAATTTCTCCGTGGTTATTTTCTTGTAAATGTGTTCCATCATTCTTACGTTTCCATTCAGGTAAAGGTTATACATGAGGCCAAGTACAAGGTTTTGCTCTTGAGAAGCAGTCAGGAGATGAGAAGCCCAAGTAAAATACGCTGAGAGCTCAACTGCCCATTTGTCTCAAACGGCAGAAGGCAGACAGAAGGTCCTTAATAAATACCATGCATTGGCCCTGGCCAGTTTGACTTAGTGGTTAGAGTATCGGCCTGTGGTCTGGAGAGACCCGGGTTTGGTTTCCACTAATGGCACGTACCTCAGTTGCAGTTTGTTCCTGGCCCTGGTTGGGTTGTGTGGGTGGCAACCACTCGATGTGTCCCTTTCGTGTCAATGTTTCTCTCTCTCTCCCCCTCCCACTCTATCTGAACACAATAACAAAAAATTTCCTTGGGTGAGGATAAAATATATGTATCATGCATGGTGGTTAATACAATAGAAGAATAACATTTTTCCTTCTCTGAAGAGTGTTGGGAATGTATACCTATTTGTTTATTCATTAACAGTCAGTAATTGTTTGAAGTTCATGGAAGATTTTATGCCAGACACTGGGAATCTAGAGAAAGTAAAATAAAGTCACTTTTGAGACTGGCTTCTTCATCTAGCACAATGATTCTGAGAGTCATATAAGTTGCTTGTATTGATAACTGTTCTCTATTACTGATGTATAGTATTCCACCTCATGAATGTACTATAGTTTCTGTATTACTTCTCCTTTATTTATTTTTATCCCCCTAATTGATTTCTCTTGTCTAAATGCATTGGCTAAAACCTCTATATAATGTTGAATAGTAGTAAATGGGCATGCTTACTTTGTTCCTGGTTATGCATTCATACTGGCCAACAGGAGTATGTGGTGTGTATTTCTGAGTGAGTAATCATTAAGAATCGCACAGTAAATATTTTCTTTGAGTTTTTTTAAATCATGAATAGCAACTGAATTTTGTCAAAGGTATTAGAAAATCATCTTAGTGACCCTGGCCAGTGTAGGTCAGTGTTAGAGTCACAGAGGGTCACAAATAAGATTCCTGGTCAAGAGCATTTACCTGGATTGCAGGTTCAATTCTCTGTTGGAGCATGGGCACATGGCATCCAATAGATATATCTCTCTCACCCAAAAACATTTTTCCATTTTTGTTCAGATAAAGTGGGAGGGAGAGACAGGAAAAGAGAGATTTAAAAAAATCAATATGAAAGTGGCTGTCTCATGCACACCCCCAACCAAGGCTAGAGACAAATTTCAACCGAGGTATTTGCCCTTGACTGGAATCAAACCCAGAACTCATTGCTCCATGGACCAATGCTCTAACCACTGAGCTAAAGCAGCCAGGGTATTTTATGTCTTTAAAAACCTATTAATAAGTCAATGATATTAGTGGATTCCCTAATATTGAACCAGTATATTATTTTTGTTTCGAGTGTCACTTAATCATGATATATCACAGTCTTCATGTGGTTTTGGAGTATATTTGCTAATGTTTGATTTAGTGCTTTTGTATTAATATTCATGAAAGACATCATTTTATACATTCATCTATTCATACTGTCATTATCAGGCTTAGATTATTAAGGTTGTAATTGGTTTACACCTCTTTGAACCATCAATTTTGATCTTTCTTGAGTCAAATCCTTATTATGAAAATAATACATAATGCATAATACATAACACTACGACATGAAAACTAGCCCTTGACAGTTCTTATCTCATTTATCAGACTTTTGATCAGACAATTCTTATCAGTCATTACTTTACATCTATAAGTCAATCAATCAGGTAAAATGTGACCTAATGAACTCTCTGGTGGAACCAAGACAGAATCACCCATTTTCAAACAGAAACAAAGTCCAAAACCAAGATAAAGTTCAAACCAACAAGTAGTTTCAAACCAATCCCGATTGTAGAATCTTATCTCATACCAACCGATACCACAAATGACCTTTGCAAGATACAAGCGGGACAGAGTCCAAACGGTGAAGAACAAAATTCCCTGTGTGCACACCTGTTCAATGTACCCAGTTTTGGAGCTCATCAACTCCCCCAGTGACCGTTAAGGAGCAGGGAGAGTCCCCTGAGATAAGACACTCACAGCAGGTATGCTCCGTGGTGATCCTGGAGCCACAATGTCTTAAGATCAGAGTCTGCTTCTTATGATGTTAGTTCCTAGAAATCTAGAGCCAACAAGCTGCTTACCTGCAGTCACATGTTAGTGTCCAGGTTGTCATTTAGGGAAATGATGTTAAAATTATGGTGCGGTGGGTTACAAGGTGAGTGGAGACTACAGCAGGGACCAGAAGCCAAATTTACAATGTTTATTCTTCTCTCCATATGGAAGGGAGCCAGTGGCACACATGATGCCAGTGACAACAAAACAGGAGAAACCAAATGAGTAAGACTCAGCTCAACCCACTTGTAGAGAACCTCTTGGTCTACATAGACAATAAACCAAAGAACCAAAGCACAGGTCAGATCTGATCACCCATGGCCAAAAGAAAATGAGGACAGTCTGTCCTGTGTTTCAAAAGTAAAAAATAATGGTAGTAAATGGATCAAGCCCTTGGCTTTTTGTGTTTTTTTTTGAATCCTCACGCAAGGACATTTTCTCATTTATCTTCAGATAGAGTAGGAGGGAGAAAGGGAGGAAGAGAGATAGGGAGAAACATCAATATGAGAGAGACACATTGAGTGGTTGCCACCCACACAAACCCAACCGGGACCAGAGACAAACTGCAACCGAGGTACATGCCTTAGCAGGAACCGAACCTGGGACTCTCTGGTCCATGGGCCAACGTTCTAATTGTTTAGCCAATATGGCCAGGGCAGAATAATCAGACTTTCAATTGAATCACCAATGCCAGTGTAGATAAGTGTCACTGTAATTCATGCTGTTTCCAGAAAGTATTCAAATAACAGTAACAGGACTATTCAAACAGAGCCAGTCTATTGCTATTGACTAGATCAGTGATGTGCCCCTGTTTGAACTGGGAATGGCTCCTGGCCATGGGGCAGTAACACACGGTGCAGCACTCAGCTCACATGTATTTCTATTGAAAGGACAAAGCTGTGTTTCCTGGTGAAGTATTTGATACCCCTCCAGTTGTAACATTTACGTTAAAGTTAGTTACAGGTAGATAAAATACAAGGATCTGTTTCTAGAAAACACCAGCTACATTTCAAGTGCTTCATAGCCTTTAGTGGCTGGGGGCTACCATATTGGATTCTGCAATTCCTAGAAGACACTCAAATATTTGGAAATTAAGGCCATACTTCTAAATAATCCATGAGTGAAAACAGACATCACAAAGATTACATAAAATGTTTCAGCCTTAATGATAGTGAAAGTGGAATATACAAAACTTTGTAAGATGGACATAAATATGCATAGAGGGAAATTTTATAGCTTTCTAGCCATATGGTAGAAAGAAGAATTTTCAATAGTTTAAAGGGTCTTGTGGGTGATAAGCTGGTAGAGACTCTGGATGTCATTATCTTCTGAAGGACACTGAGTTGTTTAGTCACTTAAGCTGGAACTTTATCTACAGGCACGTCCCATTGACATTGGGAAGGCTGGATTTAGGTGTCATTAGCCAGGGTTGCTCCAATTCTGTTCTTGCTCCAGGCAAATCCCTTACCTCGGGTTCTTTTCACTCCTACAGGGAGCCTCTGGGATTTCAGTGAAATAGGTGGTGGACTGGGGTCTCCAGTTCTGTCCATGCTGCTATGCTTTGCTGACTTCCTCTTCCTGCCCTCCAGACAGTTTTCTCCTGGACATTGGAATGTTCAAATCCTGGCTCAGCCAAAGATTGGAGCTGCGTTTACATGCACACTTTCTATAGCCCCAACCCCTCTAAGGTTCTGTTTTTTGGGGGCGTTCCCCATCCATTTCTACCTGCTCCTGCCTCCCCAGGACTCCACGCACCCTCTCTCTGGATGCTGGGAATTCCTGCTGAGGCTATTCCTGTGTCCCCAGGGCAGGAAGTGCTCTCAGGGGAAAACCACACAAACGTGGCAGCAGTGTGGTCCCTTATCGTGACCACAGGAATTGACTAAGGATCGAGTCCCCAGGTGTCTGTCTTTGGTCACTTCCCAGGGCCTTCAAACAGTGGCTTCACAGTTGTTGTTCTCTATTATCTGCACAGTTCATCCGTGTTATTGCAGGAGAATTGGGAGCTGGGAACCTCCTGTGTGACCTTCCTCAACTGACCTGATCCCAGGGAGGAAAGGGCCTGTCCTCACTGGGCTCTTCAAACTGCACAATGCCCGTTGTTCACGCTTTCCTCCAGTGTTGAGATCATTATGGAAAATGACAAATTGTAAAGTTCACTATTTTCACAGCCTGGGCCAAGACAACCCTCCCCCATACATGCCCCCGCCCACACGACGTCTTCCTTCCTTTCCACAGGCCCTGGAGCTTCCAGCCCTGCCCACACCTGCCTTCCCAGCTCTCTGAGCTCAAGGGAGTGACCACAGTGGACAGTGCCTGTCGCTCCTCCTGAAAGGTCATGGGGACATCTTTCCTGACTTTAGTAATGAAGGAGAGAAAACACCAAGTCTGATGTAATTAAAAACAACTCCTTTAGAATTTCTACGGAATGATAGGTTTTGAGGACCTGATGGGAGCTGGAAACTCTCGAACTCACACCCTCAGCACTCCAGACACCGACCTGGAGCCTGGCATGGTCAGCGATCATGAAATGGAGAGGACAAGTGACAGGCTGGAAGCTGGACACAGGGCTGAGGGAGGCTCTCAGGAAGCAATGCTCCTCTCTGGAGCGAGCATTCGCTCAGATGAGCGCCCCCTTCAGGAGACGCTTGTGAGCCTCCTCAGATTCCTTCTGGACCCTGCGCAGGTCCTCCAGCCCGTCCTCCCCACTGGGCCCTTCCTCAGAGGCTCGCCCCTGGAATATCGGCCTCCCCTGCACTTCTGTGCTCAGCGGGCTTTGCTGGGCACACTGGTAAGCCCTGTTGCTGTAACGCCGGCCTTCGTTTTCCCACAGCACGGCCTCAATTTTCATCATGAGCTCCTCCAGCTGGGCCTCCTGCTCCGCCCCCTGTGCCCTGTTGTTGAAGCCACAGTGGCGCCGCTCACACAACACGTCCAGCTTGGCCAGCTCCCGGTTGTCCGTCTCTTTCACATACTCGTCCAGGGAGCCACCATCCAGGTCTTCCTTCCGGGTGAACACCAGGATGGTGTAGGCCAGGATGCCCACTCCAAAGACCTCCTGGAGGCGCCTGACCACCTCCTGGTCCTCTTTTGTGTACCGGCCCAGCTGTGTCACCAGGAGCACCGCGTGTGGCCCTGGAGAGGAGAAGGAGATGGCTTCACAGGAGCCCCGAGTTGCCACTTCCTGGGACAATGAAGGGGACAAGAAATCAGGGGTGTCGATCACCTCGATTTCCTTCTCGGCCCACTCTCGGCTCCCCCTCTGGAAGGTCTGGGTCAGGGGTCGACTGCTGAGCTTAGACTCAAATGCATCCCGGCCAAGGATGCTGTTTCCTATTGCGCTTTTCCCACTTCCGGTTTTCCCCACCAGCATGAGCCTCAGCCTCTGTGGGGTCTGCTTCTTCTCTCTCAGATCTAGAAGTGTCAAGATAAAGCAGAGCAATTGCAGTTAGACCCATGATTCCCATTTGGCCTAATCAGAGGCCTCACCCCAGAATACGCTCCATGACCTCAGGGCAGATTGTCCTTGAACAAGGGACAAAGATGAACATCTGCACCTGAGACCTGCCCTGGGCCCACATTCCTCTCTTTTTAAAAAACTTTTATATTGTGGTAAAATACATGTAACATAAAGGTAACAGCTTGACCAGTGTCAGGTTACAATTCAGTGGCTCTGGGTGCCTTACGCTGCTGTGCTATCATCATTCTTAAGCACCCCAATAATTGTCTCATCACCCCACATGGAAACTCTGTCCCCATAAAACAATAACTCCCCAATCCTCCCTCTCCCGACCCCTGCTCACCACCACTCTCCCTTCTCCCTCGGTGAATTTTTTTATCCTCACCCGAGGACATTTTTTTTTTTTTTGATATTTTGTTCAGATAGAGTGGGAGGGAGAGAGAGAGAGAGAAACATCGACGTGAAAGGGACACATCGAGTGGTCGCCTCCCACACGACCCAACCTGGGCCGGGGACAAACTGCAACCGAGGTACATGCCCTTAGCGGGAACCGAACCTGGGACTCTCTGGACCGCAGGCCGACGCTCTAACCGCTGAGCCAAACCAGCCAGGGCTCCCTCGGTGAATTTTACTGTTCTGGGGACATCACATAACTGGGTTCCTGCAAATTTTACTTTGTTATCTGTTTTTTTCACCTGGCCCAGTGTTTTCAAGTGTCCCCCACACTGTAGCGTGTGTCAGATTTTCCTTCTTCTTCAAAGCTGAATAATATCCCATTGCACGGATGGACTACATGTTGCTTATTCCTATCTCTGGGCTCGAGTTGTTTTCCCCGTTTGCTATTGTGACTGATGGTGCTCTGCACACAAGTGCACATGTACCTCTTGGAGCCCCTGCTCTGAATTCTGGAGGAGCACGTACTCAGGAGTGGTGTTGATGCGCAATATGGTAGAATACCACACTCTTTCTTTTTATCCTCAGTAGAGGACATTTTTGCATTTATCTTCAGATAGAGTGAGAGGGAGAGAGGGAGGAAGAGAGAGAGAGAAACATCGATGCGAGAGAGACATTGACTGGTTGCCACCCACACAGCCCCACCTGAGGCCGGGGACAAACTGCAACAAAGGTAAGTACCCTTAGTGGGAACTAAACCCAGGTCTCTCTGGTCCATGGGCTGACGCTCTAATTACTGAGCGAAACTGGCCAGGGCTGGAATACCACATTATGTTTAGGTTTCAAAACTTCTTCCCAGGGTCACCAGTGGTCACCCAGCTGGAAATCAGCTAGTGCACACCAAATAAATCACTCAAGCCCTGAAGAACATTTTATATTATTTTCATTTTTATTTACTTTTTATCCTTATTCAAGGATGTTTTTCCATTGTTTGGTCAGATTGAGAGGGAGGCAGAAAGAGGAAGAGAGAGAGGGAGAGGGAGAGAGAAACTTTGACATGAAAGGGACACATCGAGTGGCTGTCTCCCGCATGACCCAAACAGGGCTGGGGACAAACTTCAACTGAGGTATGTGCCCTTAGTGGGAATCGAATCTGGATCTCTCTGGACCACAGGCCAACGCTCTAACTGCTGAACGAAACTGGCCATGGAACTGAAGAGCATTTTAAAGGAACATTTAACTTTGATTGTCGTGAGAAAGGGAAAACCACGTGTCTGCTCTTGTATTGGTAGTTTTCCCATCCAGTGTACTGGTATGGCTTTCTCCCAGTGCCTCAGGCCTCTGAAGTTCACACAGTAAAGAAACAAAACAAGGAGACTTTCGGTCAAGATGGGTGCGTAGGTAACCACAATATCATGTCCTCCCACAACCACATCAAAATTACAACTCAATTACAGAACCATCATTCAAAAACACCTGAAACCAAGCTGAATGAAAATCCTACAACTATGAAATTAATGAAGCAGCCTCACCAAGACTGCAATCAAGACTCAATTATAACAGAAGGTTGTAAAATCCACATAAGGAGTACATCTTGCGGGCACAGCTGAGAGACTGGGGAGGCTGGGCCACTGGACCCGACATGACACCTACTACAATAGGCGACCCTAGGAAGCTCAGGAGATTTAGCAATTCTACCTAATAAATGAAAACAAACACAGGTAGGCAGCCATAATGAGGAGACAAAGAAACAGGTCCCAAATGAAAGAATGGAACAAAACTCCAGAAAAAGAACTAAACGAAATGATGATAAGCAATTGAACAGCTGCAGAATTCAAAACACTGCTCATAAGGATGCTCAATGAGCTTGGTGAGAACTGCAAGGACATTAGTGAGGGCCTTAAGAGCATAAAAAGGACCAGTCAGAAATGAAGGAGGCACTAACTGAAATAAAAAAATAATTTACAGAGATTCAATAGTAGAGTAGGTAAAGCCAAGAAGCAAACCATTGATCTGAAACATAAGGAAGCAAAAAACACTCAATCAGAACAGCAGAAATGAAAGAGAATCCAAAAAAATGAGGATAGTGTAAGGAGTCTCTGGGACAACTTCATGGGTGCCAACATTCGCATCATAAGGGTGCCTGAAGGAGAACAGAGAGAGCAGGAAATTGAAAAACTATTTTAAACAATGACAGAAAACTTCCCTAACTTGGTGAAGAAAACAGACATTCAAGTCCAGAAAGCACAGAGTCCCAAACAAGGTGAACCCCAAAAGGCTCACACCAAGACACATAATCATCAAAATGCAAGAAGTTCAAGACAAAGAGAGAATCTTAAAGGCAGCAAGAGAAAAGCAGTTAGTTACCTTCAAGAGAGCTCCTATAAGAATGTCAGCTGATTTTATAAACAAAACTTTGCAGGCCAGAAGGGATTGGCAAGCAATATTCAGGGTGATGAAAAGCAAAAACCTACCATGAAGATTACTGTACCCTGCAAAGTTATCATTTAAAATGGATGGACATATCAAGAGTTTCCCAGACAAGAAAAAGTTAAAGGAGTTCATCACCACCAAACCATTATTATATGAAATGTTGAAAGGTTTTCTTGAAGAAAAACAAGATAAAAAATATGAACAAATAAAATGCTAATAAATAGAAACCTGTTGACAGTTAAATCTACAAACAAAATGAAGAAACAGAACTGTAACATTGTCATAGATATAGAGAACAATTTGTTGTGTACCAGATGGGATGCAGGTTGGCGAAATGGGTGAAAATGTGAAGGGATTAAGAAGTACAAATTGGTTGTTAGACTGACAAACCTCAAAGGAAAGGGAGGTGAGAAGAAATAAACCAAAGAACTTATATGCATATATGTATAACCAATGGACACAGACAACAGTGTGGGGAAAGGCAGGAGGAAGGTAGGAGTGGGGAGGAGGGGCTCAATAGGGGAAAAAGGAGAAATATCTGTAATACATTCAACAATCAAGATACTTTTTTTTTTTATCCTCACCGGAGGACATTTTTCCATTTTTTGCTCACGTAGAGTGGGAGGGAGAGAGAGGAACAGAGAGAGAGAGAAACATCGATGTGAAAGGGACACATTGAGTGGCTGCCACCCGCACAACCGACCAGGGCCGGGGACAAACTGCAACCGAGGTACGCGCCCTTAGCGGGAACCGAACCCGGGTCTCTCAGGACCGCAGGCCGACGCTCTCACCGCTGAGCCAAACCGGCCAGGGCTCAAGATACTTTTTTTAAGGAAAAGAAAAAAAAACATTCATGTTCTAGTATGTAGTGAATATCAAGTGATTTCTTCTTGCCAGGAAAAGGGAGGGTTGCCTGCTCTCCCAAACTCTGTGTCCTGGCTGGATGATAAAGTTGAGCCCTGACCTTGATGCAGTAGCTTTTGGGGGAGAACCCCTTGAGAAGGTCCAGCCCAGTTCTGAGGCTGCCACTGGTTACAGGGTGCTTTGCACCCCTCCCACCCCTCAGCGCCCACAACTGAGCCAGCCAAGTGCCCACATGAAGTCTGTTGTTAGTAAAGCCTCTGCCCAGGTGAGTGGTCTCTTCACACCCACCTTCCCGAGGGCATGATGGTGCTCTGTCTCTCCTCCCCTTTCCCATTGTGCCTGTCGGGGGGGGGGGGGGACTGCGACTCTGTTTTGGTGGGTAAGCAGCGCCCCCGCCCCAAGGACCCTGTGCTGTTGGAAGCTCTGTGTGAGCCTCTCCAGGAACACCCTGCACAGCACAGGGTGCCCCCCTGCCCCGCTCTCTCAGGTCCCCCAGCCTGAGCAGTCCTTTTACCTCCTGACACGTCTTGTTCAGGATTCTGGGACAGCGCTCCTGTGGGACAGTTGTGGTCAATCAGCTTGAATTCTTCTTTCTCCACCTAAAAAACAGTACGTCTGAGTGACTCCAGTGGAGCTGCAGAGGCCCCTGGCTGTGCCTGTCTCTGGCCAGGAGGGTTGTACATTGCTTTGGGGCGGGGGCCTGAGTGAGGAGAGAGGAGGAAGGTCTTAGACCCTCTCTACCTCCTTTAGGGACCTGTGTCTCTCCCGGCCTCTTGTCTCCCTGTCTCTGTCTGCTCTGTGGTCTCCATGGTGAGTCTTAGCGATGGCATGGAGAAGGTGCCGTGGGCCTGCAGCCTGAGCAGGGCCCAGGAGCTGTTCTGTGAGGAGGAGAAAGGGGCAGAGGCAAAGAGGCAGGTGTGGCACAGTGTCCAGGGTCCTGGGAAGACCCGTCCAGATGTGCAGGAGGGCGCGAGCAGTAAGCTGTGGGGAGGGGCCGGTGGGGTGGGATTGGGGTCCTGGTGCCAGGATGGTCCCTGAGAAAGACCTGGCAGTGAGGATGTCAGAGGGCTGAGAGGTGGGGGCCAGGTGCCATGGTGAGGAGGCCAATAGCCTGGCACAGGAACTTCATGGCACGGGGACAGTGCTGCTAAGAGCCAGGACACCGCATGCCCATTTCCGGGGCCATCAGGCAGCGTGGTCACATTGCCTGTGCCTCAGAGTCCCTTAAGTGTGAACGCTTTGCCACAACTAGATGTCCCTGTGGTCCCTGGGACATTCCAATGCATTTTAATGCATTTTCTAGAGCAAGTCCTAATCTGCAAACAGGTCATGTCACCCCACCTGCCATCATCCTTGTGGGGAGAGGGCCGTGCACCCTGCTGCCACCCACACTGCCTAGGGACTAAGGGTTCCCTGTGCAGGAGCCCATCCTTGCTGGTCTGCTCCACCTCCTCTGTGGTCTTGGAAGGAGAGCAGAAGGCCCCGGACTGTGGGCCAGGACATGCAGGGCCGTGGGAGGCAGCAGGCAGGGACCGGCTCCAGGGGAAGGCTCTGGGGTGTGGGGACACCTGACTTCCGGCCTCCATGGATCCTGCCCTGAGCAGTGCCCACCTCTTTACCACCCTCTGTAGTTTGTCTCCGACACAACACAGAGCAGATTATCCCCTGTGTTTCTCCGCAGGAAAGTGAAACTCAGGGAGCCTCTGCCCCAGGATTAAGTGAGAAGTTGGGGGCAGGGCACCAAGGGTACAAGGTTCTCCTGATGTTTAGTCACAGCTCTTTGTATATACCACATGCACACACACACAGACACACCTCTCACACATACAGCCCCAAACACAATACACAGATGCACACACACAGCACTGTCACATATATGACACACCTCCCACACATATATTCTCAACACAACATACAGACTCACACACACACAAACACAGACACACAGCACTTCCACAGACATGACACACCTCTCACACATACAGCCCCCAAAACAACACACACTCACACACACACACACACACAGTTTATGTCCCTCAGACATAAACACCTCTCACACATATAGCCCCAAACACAACACACAGACACACACACACACACACAGTGCTCCCTCAGACATAAACACCTCTCAAACATATAGCCCCAAACACAACACACAAACACACACACACATAGCACTCCCTCAGACACAAACACCACTCAGATATAGCCCCAAACACAACACACACACACACACACACACACACACACACAGTGCTCCCTCAGGCACAAACACCTCTCACACATACAGGCCCAAACAACACACAGACACTCTGGAACATACCCTGTGCTCCTGCGAGTTCTCGGTTTCTCCTTCTGGAGCCGACTTATCGCAGGGTCCCGGGGGCCCTGTCTGGACCCAGGAGAAGAGAGCATCTCGGGCATAGGAACAGTAGGAGAACACTGCTTGCATGGTTCAGCAGGTGTGGTGGAAGCGGGGCTCAGGGAGCCTCCGGGAGGAGCAGGCCTGCTGTGAGGTGGAGAAGCAGGAAGTGGGTGGGTTCACCAGGCCAGGCCCCAGAGGCAGGGCCCAGTGTTCACACTCTGTCTGCAGCCTGGGCCACAGGAACAGGAAAAGCGAGATCACGGGGCTGCTATTGTTTTCCTCCTGACCTGGCACAACTGGCACTCAGAAACTGAAGAAAAGGCACAGTGCCCTGCTCGATGTGGCGCAGTGGTTAGGGTGTCCACTTGTGCACCAACAGGTCATGGGTTTGATTTTTGTAAAGGGCACTTACCTGGGTTGTGGGTTCATTCCCGGCCCCTCGGGGCATAGCTGAGAGGCAACCCATCTATGTGTCTCTCTCACATAGCCGTTTGTTTGTTTTTTTTCTCTCTCTCCCTCCTTCCCTCTCTTCTACTCTAAAAATCAGGGGAGGGTGAGGACCAAAAAATAAAAAGGCAGCAGACCCTTCAGAAAATGTTCTGCTGTGGCAGCTGTTTTCAACCTGTTTCACCACGTTGCACAGAAAGGAATTACAAGCAATGTACTTGTTGCCAGTGTGACAAAAACAGGTATACTTTTGATTCATCTACAGGGGACGGCTGTTGCTGTGTTGGCAGTTGTCAGTTTTATTTGATAGTCTCAGGGAAAGGTCCGGCCCTGAGGGAGTGGTCAGGTAGGCATGTCTTAAGTTCCTGCTGCACGCAGGTGGAACATCTCTGCTCTAGAACGGCCACTGCCTGAGCTATTCTACCCTTCTCATCATGACGGAAATTCACTGGATCTTTTCTTCCCCTAAGTCATCCTCCCTTTAAATACTTCCTCTCAGGACAAGGCCTTGCACTTGAACTCAGACACTGGCTCTTCCTGAGTCCTGATCCGCCTGTCTTCACAAAGAAATTGTGCACCAGCTCCCCTGGGGCTCCAGGTTGCTGACTAGATCCTGGGACCACTAACTCAATAACCACACAAGCCAATTCCTTATAGTCAATCATGTGAGCCAATTCTTTATGACAATGAATATTCCTTATAATAACATCTCTTCACATATGTGCGCGCACACCCACATATTCTGCACCTGGATTTCCCAAACCTGTGTCCCATCTGAGTGGTTCTGATGTTTGCTGTGTGTCTTTTTCTTGCTGGTCAGCATGCCCTGTTGTGCTGCAAGCTGGGTGTGGGGTACCAGCCCCTAGGAACGGAAGTGAATGGGCCTGTAGAGTTCTGTCTCACCTGTCGTCTGTGGGTTTCCCTCAGGACCTCCTTTTTTAGAGCTTTCAAAATGTTATTTGTTTATCATTTTTCAGATGCAGTTGACAGTCAATATGATCCAAGTGTCAGGGGTACAGCTTAATGTACCTTATGAAGTGATCCCCGGGTAATTGCGGTGTGCACCTGCACCGTCCGAAGTGTGGGCGGTATTGTTGAGCACCCTCCCTGTGCCATACGTTACACCCGTGACTGCTTTGGGCCTGGCAGTCTGTGCCCTTGGAAGGGCTCCTTCTTACACAGGGTTTATCTCAGACCCTGTGGTGGTGTCAGGCGCGAGGCGGGAAGCTCGGTCCTGGAATCAAATCTCACTGGGCTGTGAGCATCACAGGGTTGGTTTGATTATTGGTTTGTTTTTAGCTCCCCCACGCTTGCTTGTTTGAGGTGACACAGGCTAAATGGGGTCACTTCCCGGCCTTTCCAACTCATTTTATTACCGTGTCCTGCTTTCTTTTCTGTGCTCTGGCCTTGACTGTCCCCCTTCGGTCACTTGAATGCCTTGTCCAGTCCTTCACTCTGGAGAAGCTGTGAAGGGATGGAGCCAAAACGTTCCTCAGGGAGTGTTTCTATCATAAAAAGATTTTTATAAAAGGATTTTGATAAACACATTGGAGGTTTACCATTTTGACACGTAACACTATTTTACATGCTCTTTCCCGAAGGAATTGGTTATGTGTTGCCCAGCGACTTTCCGATCCTTGAGAGATGGCATATACAATGGCGGTCCCACAAGATGACACTGGGTGCACAGGTCTGGTGGCCTAGAGCCACGACACTTGTGGTAATGGGGCAGTGCATGCATTGCTCTCGTGTTTCTGTGAGGGGTGTACACAAAATCACTGCACTGTGTATAAACGTGCTGTGCACTGTGTATAAACGTGCTGTGTACTGTATTTTTACTGTCTCTTTTCTATGTTTAGATACACAAGTCCTTACCATGGTGTTACAGTTGCCTTTGGTACTCAGTCAGTAACATGCCACAGAGGCTTGTAATCCAGAGCCTTAGGCTACACCATACAACTTAGGTGTGCAGTAGGCTGTACCGTCCAGCTTTGTATAAGTGCACACACTCTATGATGTTTGCACCATGACAAAATCACCTAGGTATGCACTTCTCAAAATGCACCTATTGTTAAGTGATGCATTATTGTATAACCCAAATCATTAAAGACAAAGAAATTGCATGTACATCAAACATAAAGATAGATGTAAAAGTATCATTACCTGGGAAATCAAGAAAATAACCTAACAGGCTTTGTGTAGAAATGTCAACATTAAATAAAAATCATATAAGTTAACTAACATATAAACAATAGCCCAGTAAGTATAACTTATGATTTAAAAATAATAACAAAACTAAAATGTCTAGGGATACACCAATTGTGTAAAAACATCTATATGGAGAAAACTTTAAGAAACGTCTGAGGATGTGGAGTAAACAACTCTCACCTAACACTTCTGAGAGTGTGAATTGGCCGAATCGCTTTGGGAAACGGTAGTAGCTCTGCCTCTGTTCTCTTCATAACAGGACACAATGGAAACTGGGCTCATTAACCAGACTGTGACTGGAATATCACATTGGGGAGAAACATACCTAGACTCTGGATGTCAGCAGAAAGCTTTAAGGAATTGGGATTGATTTTGGAAGCGGATCAAAGCCCCTTGGAGAAGCAGCCTTGGAGCTTGCACATTTACATGGTTCATGGCCTCCTTCTAGGTGAGGAACTAAGGCTGCTTTCCTGGGAGACGGCCGAGAAAGAACCTCAAACTATTTTGAGGAACCTTGAGAACTTGAGGAATTCACCCAAGTCTGTAGGTATCACAGGCAAAACCTGATGGCAACTGTGGCTCGGCTTCTATGCCCTGAGTGGCTAATTCAACCTCAGTCTGGAGATTCCTTATGCGGTTCCAGCAGATTCAGAGGAGCCTCTGGGATTCACTGCCCTTCTTCCTGTGTTTATGCAAATAATCAGGCCGAACTGAAACTAGAATAATGTAGCAACTAAGTTGGTCTTCATTTGGCTCTTTTGATGAAAATAAGGGTGACTGTAGGGAGAGAAGCTGTGTTTGTATGGGATACATTAGACTTTAATCCAGTTGGTTGTATTACTGAAACATCTCCTGAGCTTTGCAATTACAAAGTGAAGCCAAAGACATTCTTGAAACAATCTCAGTAATGGATACTTGCCAGGATGGTACTTTCACTGGACCATGTGTCATAATTCTTGTTATTCTGGTGACTTGTTTCCACCAGGGTAAGAGCCCTACTCACACTTCAGGATGACTGCCGCCTGCAGACCTAGACACCATTGCCACCTCCTTCTATGTCCAGACCTCAAGGGCCCTCTGGCAGAGAGCAAGGATCACTTGGCTCAGAAGGAAAAAGTGGGCCCTGTTCAGCAGGTAGCAGCAACAGGAGGGATCTTGTACCCCTATTCACTTAAGGATTTCAGAGCCAAGAGTCCTTGGGTGGGTCAGGGAGAGATAGTAGGTAGTGGGAGGGCATGAGCAGAGCAGGAAAGATGGGCCAAGTGCAGAAAGTCACCAAGGTTGAGAGCCCCGGTGCCTGGCAACAGGAAAAACCACAAGTCCTAGCAGGACCACTCGTTAAGCATTAACCCTCGGAAGTGACATCTAGGCCTAAACTGAGGTTCAGCTCCAGGCCCAGAAAAGCAGCAAGTCTAAGCAGAGTGATGCCATGGATGACATAAGGATTCTCTGCATTGACTAATGACCCTCTGCCTGGGTGCTAACCAATCAGCTGAGACCATGACCCTGAAGAGATGCACCTGCCAAGCTGATGAATATTCTATTGGGATTCTCCCCTGAGACCTCAGATAAAACCCCTCAGGCTCTCAACATGGAACACACCTTTGCCTGTTCCCACCCTTTTCTTTCATCTCCCACGGTTTCTCTCCGGACTCCCTGACTCACCCCTGAGCTCCCAGGGTCCTTCTTTTGCTTGTGTGACTTGTTTCCTGAGCTGGTTCCTAGACAGCTCATTCTCTTGCTCTTGTCTCTCCAAGTAGACTCTTTTTTATCATTTGAGTCTTGGGTTTGAATTCTCTTAGCCAGAACTTAGCCAGTCAGGTACCGACTGCACTTAACTGAGGTCTCACACCTGGTGCCATTTTAACTGCTAATATTATGACATTTCCATTCTGATCATCAGAATGTGCTGCCAATCATTTGAAGAATATCTTATTAGAGAGGTTTGACAGGTTTGCCTCATGGTCAGGAGCATTTCTTAAGAGATTCTGTTTTTGTTTTTGTTTTTTAATTTTTCTTTATCTTTATTGTTGAATGTATTACAGACGTTCCTCATTTTCTTCCATTGACCCCCTCCTCCCTACCTCCACCACCCTCCTGCCTTTTCACACACTGTTGTCTCTGTCCATTGGTTATGCATATAAGTTCTTTGGTTTATTTCTTTCCACCCCCCAACCCCCTTCTCTTTGAAGTTTGTCAGTCTAGCAACCAACTTGTTCTTCTTAATCCCTTCACCTTTTTCACCCATTTCCCCAACCCCCCTCCCATCTGGCAACCAACAAAATGTTCTCTGTATCTATGAGAATGTTTCTGTTCTTCCTGTTCATTTTGTTTGTAGATTCCATTGTTGATAAATATGTATTTATTGCCATTTTGTTTGTTCATATATTTTATCTTTTTCCTCCCAATGACCCTTCAACATTTTATATAGTAACAGTTTGGTGGTGATGAACTCCTTTAACTTTTTCTTGTCTGGGAAAGTCTTTATATGGCCATCGATTCTAAATGATAGCTTCTCAGGATAGAGTAATCTTGGCTGTAGGTTCTTGCTTTTCATCACTCTGAATACTTCTTGCCACTCCCTTCTGGCCTGCAAAGTTTCGTTCATAAAATCAGCTGACATTCTTATGGGAGCTCCCTTGATGGTAACTAACTGCTTTTCTCTTGCTGCTTTTAAGATTCCCTCTTTGTCTTGAACATTTGCATTTTGATGATGATGTGTCTTGGTGTGGGCCTCTTGGAGTTCATCTTGTTTGGGACTCTCTGTGCTTCCTAGATTTGTATGTCTGTTTCCTTCACCAAGTTAGGAAGGTTTTCTGCCATTATTGTTTCAAATGGGTTTTCAATTTCTTGTTCTCTCTCTTCTCCTTCTGGCACCCCCAAGATGCGAATTTTAGTATACTTGAAGTTGTCCCAGAGACTCATTATACTATCCTCATTTTTTTGGATTCTTTTTTCTTTTTGCTGTTCTGATTGGGTGTTTTTGGCTTCCTTATATTCCAAATCAATGGTTTGCTTTTTGGCTTTACCTACTTTACTATTGAATCTGTGTAAATTATTCTTTATTTCATTTAGTGCCTCCTTCATTTCTGACTGTGCATCCTTCATTTCTGACTGGTCCTTTTTTATGCTCTTGAGGCCCTCACTGAGTTGGCTGAGGTTCTCACTAAGTTCACTGAGCATCCTTATAAGCAGTATTTTGAAATCAGCATCTGTTAGGTTGCTGATCTTCATTTCACTTAGTTCTTTTCCTGGGGATTTTTTCTGTTCTTTCACTTGGGACTTGTTTCTTTGTCTCCTCATTATGGCTGCCTCCCTGTGTTTGTTTCTATGTATTACTTAATGAGAGATATGAGGCGAGCTGAAACCAGATGCTGCTTGTTTGAGAGAATTTAGGAAAACCTGAAGCAGGATCCAAGACCGGCCAATTCTATGGTAAAGCAACTGGCAACAGCTTAGGTGGGCCTGAAAGTTGGGTGGGGTGGGGCCTCAGGGACTCACCAGGGTGGGGCAACCAGTGTGAGCCAGGTTGCTGGAGTCCCAGATATGGCAGCTGTCTGCCGCCCCAGGGAAGGGCTCACCAAAGGAACAAAGGTCTCTGACAGCACGTTTGTCACAGAGAAAGCCCCCTCTCCAGCCCTCGCTCTAATGCCAAACAGCTCAGTTCTTCCCTGTATGTCTCTGGCACCCCTTGAGCTACCTCCCCTCCAAGCTTAGAAGGAATGAGTCCAATAAGTCCATGTGTGGGGCCTTTAAGAGGAGCTGCCTGAGGCTCCAGCCACCTCAGCTTCCCTGAGCCCCATTTCCTGCTGTTTTTTCCAGCCAGAGGTTATGGGGATTCTCTTCCTGGCACTGGAACCTTGAGCGGGGTGCCTGGTGTGTGATGGGGACCCCTCAGTCCTCAGAGAGAACCTTCCCAGCTGAGAAATCCTCCTGATTTTTATCTGCCACGCACATGGGTGTGGGACCAGCCCATCGTGCCTCCGCCCTCCTACCAGTCTCAATGCAGCTTCTTTATTTCCGTAGTTGTAGGCCTTCCATTCAGCTGGATTTCAGGCAGTTTTGAATGATGATTGTTCTGTAGTTTAGTTGTAACTTTGATGTGGTTGTGGGAGGATGGATACCACGTTTACGTACGCCGCCATCTTGACTGAAAGTCCGAGATTCTGTTTTTCAGATACTTTGATTCTGACCTTTTTTCCGTTGTCCCCTTATACTAGACAGTGTCTGGCATGTCAAATGTGTGGAAAATGAATTGCTGATGTTGACTTTCCCATACCCCCTCTATATATTGGGTTCCTAGTTATCAGACTTCTGACCATCGTCTGAATTTTCTAGCACCAGTTTCTTACTATAAAAAAGCTGCAATCCACCATTCCAACCAGTAAAGTGTTCTTTCAGGCTGTGGCTTAAAGGACTTTTACCACACTTTTAACCACTTCAAGGTTTGACCCTATGACCTCACTTATGTAAATTGGGTGGTTTGATACTATAAATCAATTTACATTCAATCATCAGTATTAAACAGCACCAGGCCCTATAAGAAGAACTTCCTTGATTTGCAATATACCAAGTAAAACTATGAGAATTGACCCACACAGGGGGAGCCTACCCATATTGTGTTCTCCATCTCACTTTGCAACATCCCTGTTCTGTGTTCACTGCTCCAGCCTTCCACGTGTGAGCAGGTGACAGTAGAGCACTATAGCTCTGCTCCATCTGCCACCAGATCCACCCACACAGCTCTCCAGGCCCCTGAGTCCCACAGGGCTGCTCTGTCCAATGCAGAGCAGGGCAGCCAGCATAGTGGTTTGGGGAGCCCATCAAAGTCAGGGCCTTGGAGTTGGTCTTCCAGGCCCTCTGTGGACCAGCAGTGCCTGTCTGTCCCCAGTAAGCAGGAACATTCTAGAAGCAGAGCCTTGAGAAGGGCCCTGGGGAGTAGGGCTGGGCAGGTGCACCTTCCATGAGTGCTGGGGGCAGGGTGGGTGCCCCATAGGAACTTTCCTTTGTCGCGGGCTGTTTCTGAACCTGGGCTCAGGCGCGGGGAGCAAGGGGGTGTCCGTCACAGCCTACAAAGGCTTTTCCTCCAAGCATTTTGACAAATCAGAGAAAGGAAGTGGGCGGGGCCGGCAGCCAGAGGCGCTGACAGGAAGCCCTTGAGGGGACACAGCACACCCTGCCCTCGCGGGTCCTGTGTCGTTTGCAGCAGTTCCCTTCCAGCCCAGGACCTGTTCCTGTGCCCAGAGTGTGGGGTGCTGGGCGCGACACTCCCCTTTCTCCTTCGTGCCCAGGGGCCGTCCTGGGACCGTCGGCCTCCAGGGGGTCCCGTGTAACTGCCTCTGCCCGGCTTCCTCCGCGCCCACTGCGCGCACATTCCCGGGCCGCCCAGAAGCTTCCCGAGCCGCCCAGCACCTTCCCGGGGGCGCCCATCACCTTCCCGGCCGCCCAGCACCTTCCCGGGGGCGCCCAGCACCTTCCCGGCCGCCCAGCGCCTTCCTGGGTCGCCCAGCACCTTCCTGAGCCGCCCAGCACCTTCCTGGCCGCCCAGCGCCTTCCTGGGTCGCCCAGACCTTCCTGAGCCGCCCAGCACCTTCCCGGCCGCCCAGCGCCTTCCTGGGTCGCCCAGACCTTCCTGAGCCGCCCATCACCTTCCCGGCCGCCCAGCACCTTCCCGGGGGCGCCCATCACCTTCCCGTCCGCCCAGCACCTTCCCGGGGGCGCCCAGCACCTTCCCGGCTGCCCAGCACATTCCCAGGGGCGCCCAGACCTTCCTGAGCCGCCCAGCACCAGGAACTCAGTGCCGCACCAGGTAAGGAGAAGCCTTGGAGGGCTCAGGCTGAGATTCTGCAGCCTAGTCACCCCAGGGACTGCTGGTGTGATCTCACAGGTTACCCTACTTCTGGGCTTGCCAAGGGGGGAGACAGGACCATGATGTTGGTGCAGGGGTCACAGCAGGTCGATAGTGGCGGAAACAGGAGTGGGTGCCACTCGCCCCGAGCTCTCAGCGCAGAGCTAAACAAAGTATAATACACTGATTTGTAAATAAATAAATTAATTGAATGCCCATAACCAGCATCAGTGTTAATGATAAGATTTTAGATGCCCTAAAATTAAAATCAAAGTGTATTAACTCGGTTTTTAAAAAGTAACAACGAAGGTAATTATACAAGAAAAAGTAATACTACAGTATCATTTGCAACCAAGTCTATGTTAAACCTGAAAACAAAATATAACCAAAAGAAAATGAAACACTATTTTTAAAGAAATACTATATGTAAATTGAATGGGTTAAAATTAATTTATTAAAATGTATTTATTCCTTCATACACAATAAAAACTATAGAAAAGAGGGTGAAAGGGAAAACTGTGGTTTAGAATCTAACACAAAATCATAGATTCTCAGGAATAAACTTGGCAGGAAGTGTGTGCTCCGCATGAAGACAGTCTTGCTGTCCCATAGGACTTCAGATGGTCTGATAGTTTACACTGTGTGCAGAGATGTCCTGGTTGCTCCCCAGCCAGATGTTCTGGTTGCTCCCCAGCCTCAGCTGCTGTCTTCTTATCTTCCCTCCGGCTTTACTGAGGTATAATTGACAAGTAAAATCGTACACACGTGTTGGCTGTATACAATGCAATGATTTGATGTATGTCCATGTATTTTGTGATTGTCACCATGGGGTTAATTAACTCACCCATCACCTCACATAGTTACCTTATTTGTGGTGTGAGAACACTTAAGATCTGCTGTCTTAGCCAATTTCAAGTTCACACTATAGTATTATAACAGCAGTCACCATGCTGCGTCACACTCATCTCTCGTCTTTTTGATATTCCCCATCCAAAGAAGCTTTTTGTAAACCAAAAATAATTCTTGGTATTCAGAAAAGCAATGTATTAGTATTTTATATCTAAAGACTATTTTAATGGGTGCTTTGTGCGTTTCATATATGACGTAAGCAATTGACGAGCTTTGGGTTTGATGCATACTGGATTATCTTTGTTTTCCATATTCAAATGAGGAAATCGGTCCCTGTTAGTACTCTGACACAGAAGGTTTGTATTTTTTGGAATAGATTACTGATATTAAGCAGGACTGAACCACATTGTGTTGTATGTTAAGCACTTTAGACACCGCCCAGTGAAGACCCTGGAAGAATTCAAAACAAGGTTATAACAGTGTGTGACAGAAGTGGTGTTCACCATGTCCACGGCTCCCTGCCTGTGCCGCCCCTGATAGGGAGGCCAGGGCCTCGTGGTTATTCTGTGATTATTCCTCATCCGTGGCTGGGGACAGAGAACAACAAGGTCACTCCTAGTCTGGGAATTCAGAGGCAATCTAAGTGTCATAGGCTCTCTCCCCTGCTGTGGTGATTGTCATGTAAACAAGGAAAAAGAGTTTTTGAAGGATTTCAACTTTAAGCCTTTGAATTGATCGTCCTGAACGTGGACACTCCAGATTATTATTGTGGACAATACCTAGATTGTTGTCCCCGGGAGGTGTGTTCCCTGAACTGCCAGCGCTGGACAGGGAAGACAAGCAGAGTGCTAGGGAAGCCACAGTGGGTTATTTCACAGCGTTGGGATGGTTTGTGACTGTTACTGTCCCTCTGACTTGGACAGCACAGCTTTGCTCAGGTGGCTCCTCTGTCCCCGTCTCCCTCTGCATGGCCCTTGTCAGAGGTGTCCCCTGACCTGTGCACTCGCCTTCCCCAGTGACTGCCTGTAGAACAGTCAGTGACACCAGGTAAGTGAGACCGAATTCCCTCTCAGAGCGCCATGCATTTAGGCACGCTTGTGACTGAGGACACAGCCCCAGAGGGAAGGAATCGAGTGAACCAGCCTCCCTGGGTCCCTGCCTTTCTTGCCTGTCCTGTCGAAATTATTTTCTCTTTTGACGAGAAAAGACAGCTGGGCCACATGATAGCAAATAACTCCTGGTGACATTTTCCATTGGAACTGTTCACTTGCTTATGTGGCCAAAGTGAGAACTGTGGACAGACACACGCTGGGGCCCTTTTGCAGCGGGGACACTCTGAGGAGAGGACAGAGAGGAAAACAGAGGCTGGTGTTGGTTTTACTTTCTTTTACTCTTGGAGCTGAATGGGCACGCCGCAGGTTCCAACAGGGAGCCATCTGCGTGTTCTCTCAGTACATCAGGTAAGCCCACACTCGGGAAAGTTCTGCTCTGTTGATTTTCAGTTCCCAGCCTATGCTGGAAAAAAAAAGTTAAGAAGGAATTCACCCTGTATCAAGGGAAATGATTTAGAGTGACGGCCTTTGGCGGAAGTGAAGCCAGTTTGCAGGGACGATAAACTTCATGTTACTTCGATCACACATTGCTGGCAAAGAGAGGTCTCTTAGCATGAAGCCAATCGATGGCTCACCAGGAGAAATCTGGGCAGCCTGAGTGTGCTGTCTTATCGCTTTAGGGATGCTGCTAGGATCCAATAAGAGACTCTCTGGGTGACTTTAGGCAAGTGACTGATTTCTCAGGAAAATGCACAGAGGAACTCTTTCCACTCTCCTTGTCAGCTGCGTGCACACAATGATGCATGGCTGGGAACCTGCTCCAGGCACATCAGGGTATCTCATGATTTGGAACTGAAGTGTAACAGGTTGCTGTCTTACTGGTCTCTTGTCTCTCTGCTCAGGAGCCGCAATGGACCAAAATGCATACAGTCTCTCGGGAAAGAAGGTGACTTCAGGTATGTGTGCCGGTTTACCGTATTCTGTGCCTATTTTATACAAAAGTGGTGCTGTTCTCTTTAGTAAGCAGAATGTAAGCTATTAGGTGTTTCTTCATTAAAGAGAACCCTTTTACGCTGCTCATTTTATATTTCTGTGGTCCAGCCATTTCACTGGTGCTTATGACCACACCTCTGCCCAGCCGGGGTCGGAGGGGCTCTCCCTGGCCTTGGAACAGAGTCAGGGTACTTAACCCTCCTGGAGGTGGGACCCTCAGTTTGGCTCCACATCTCTGATCCTCAGAAAATTCATCTTCCACAGGGCTAGAGCGGAGTGATTCAGGCAAACCTTGCCTGACCAAAGCTGTTTCTCAGTCCACCTGGTCACCCACCTCTCCAAGTATGTTTTTCTAAGTTTCAACATGGCAATGTGCTATAACCCTAGAGAAAACCATAGAGAGGAGAAATCGTGATGGAAAAAAAAATAAAAAATAAATTTTTAAGTCATGATTAAGTAATTTTATTTGTTAAGGAGTTGGTTAGCTGCTATTTCACAAATGCAATATATTGTGAGAGTATCTTTTCCCATAATGCGAGACTCACTTTTTTTTTTCTTAATATAAATTTTTAAAATACTCACTTCAGGATATTTTTTTATTTATCTTCAGATTGAGTGGAAGGGAGAGAGAGGTAGAGAAGGAAAAGAGAGAGAAACATGGACGTGAGAGAGACACATCGACTGGTTACCTCCCGCATGACCTTGACCAGGACTGGGAACAAACTGCATCGGAGGCACATGCCCTTGATTGGAATCCAGCCTGCGACTCTTTGGACTGTGGTCTGATGCTCTAACTGCTGAGCCAAACCAATCAGGGTTTAGACTAACTCTTGCTTATAAAAATATTCTATTGGAGTGTGGGGAAGGCAGGAGGGCGGTGGGAGTGGGGAGAAAAGGGTCAATGGTGGGGGGAAATGGGAACATTTGTAATACTTTTAATAATAGAGTATTTTTTAATAAAATAGAAAAGGATCTTTTAGGGCAGAGATGAGTTAGAGGCTCATGACCTCTTCAGCTTTGGTTTGAAGTCCAAAACATGTTGCAGGGAAATGTATGAGCTCTTTCATCATCACAGTCACTAGGAAACAACGGTGCGATGAGGGACATCACCCAGGGTGGAGTAGGAACCCCTAGCCTCTGTTTCCCCCTGAAGATCAGCAATTAGACAGCTCCCCATCCACAAAACAGCTCTGGGAGAATTGGGACTCCACCTAAGAAACTTTAGCAACACTGTGGAACAAGAAGCCCAAGAGTAAGTGCTCACAAAGGAAGAGAAGACCTTCTCTTTACCTGCACCGTTCCCTAGGCGGACACTGCTCAGTGCCTAGGGGGACTCCCCAGCTAGGAAGAGTTGCCTTGCTGGGAAAGGGAGAGCAGGGTGAGTGATCAGCTTCCCCAGCCTTCCAGGTCCCCCCATGCAGAGACCAGCCAAGCCGAGGTGTAGAGATATGGCTAGGAACTACAAAACAGACTGTTCCATTGGCATGATCAGTGTAATGATAACACAGTACACTTGCTCTTCACAGGACCACATATGAAGAGCCAACCCACCAGAGGATCAGAGCTGAGAATCATCCTCGTGGGCAAAACAGGAACTGGTAAAAGTGCCACCGGGAACAGCATCCTGGGAAAGCAAGCGTTTGAGTCCCAGCTGTGTGCCCAGACCCTCACCAAGACCTGCAGTGAAAGTCGGGGAAGCTGGGGCGAGAGAGAGGTGGTCATTATTGACACGCCAGATGTGTTTTCTGGGAAGGACCACTCCGATCCTCTGTACACAGAGGTGCAGAGGTGCTACCTGCTCTCCGCCCCAGGACCCCATGTGCTGCTCCTGGTGACGCAGCTGGGCCGGTTCACCGCCCAGGACCAGCAGGCCGCACAGAGGGTGAAGGAGATCTTTGGAGAGGATGCCATGAGACACACAATCGTCCTCTTTACCCACAAGGAAGACCTCGATGGAGGCTCCTTGATGGATTACATTCGTGACTCAGATAATAAAGCCCTAGGCAAGCTGGTGGCAGCGTGTGGTGGGCGAGCGTGTGCCTTTAATAACCGAGCGGAAGGGAGTGCTCGGGTCCACCAAGTGGAGGAGCTCATGGACTTGATTGAGGGCCTGGGAGTGGAGAAAAGGGGTGAGCACTATACCAATGAGCTGTACAGCCTCGTGACAAGGTTAGAATGTGGACCTGAGCAGTCAGAGAGAAGGTTAAAGGATTTCAAAGAGAGTCTTATAAAGCACATGGAAATTCAGAGACATCGCACTATGATGGCCAAAGAAAATTACCTAAAAGGAGCCCTAATCAAAATACTAGTGTGTATTCAGTCATTTGTCAAATTGCTAATTCTATTATTTTGTGTATTGCCCAGATTATGCTATTTTTTTTACTGCTTACTCTGTAGTACGTGCAACTTGTTATGTAGCTTATTGTTGACTAGCCTCAGAAAAGTAATTCCTGGGAAGATGATTGGTGTGGAACGCAAGACTCCGAGATGATCGCTGTACGTAAGGAAGTATGCATCACAGTGATGCAGTGGGTGGATCACAGGGCCCTCCTCTGAAAGTGCTGTGCCTGACATCAGCAAACATTTGAGATTCTGCGAAGTGTTTAAATGTTAACATCACTCACTTTACTAATGAACCAAGTTATTTTAAAAGTTATTGTTTTGAAATGTAATAGCAAAACCTTTGAAAAGCTGTAAACATAAAATTTCTTCCTTTTGCAAGTGCCCATTTTCTGTTCCTGGAAACTCCTTTTCTTCTTTAAAGTACTATGATTTCTACTGAGTATAATGAAGATAATAAAAATGCTACTGAATATAATAAAATAACAATAATAAGTACGTTCCTGAGTTCATGTCTTTAATTCTGTTCATTCAACAGTCATTATGAACTGTGCATTGTACACTGGCCCCAGGTGTGTGCCCTGGGTATGAGGGGAATGGGCGAACTCAAGATTGAACAGACAACCCCACAGGGGTCTCTGAGGTGTGCATTTCAGCTGAGTCTCTGCCCCAGCCCAGCTGGGCGCTATGACTTCTTTGACTACTGTGCCTCCCTTCCCAGACTGTAAAATGAGATCAAACCTACGCTGGTCTCCACAGAAGAGGATGCAGAGGGCACCAGACCATGCACTAGAGGGAGCGTGATTCACCAGGTGGAGTGGTAGAGAACCAGGATGAGGGTTAAATAGGTTTCTTATTAGAAGCCAGCAGGCATAAGGAGGGGACAGAGGAGGAGGGAGAGAAGTAGAGAAGGAAGAAGGAAGAAGGAAGAAGGAAGAAGTTGATCTCACCTAATCCTCTCAACAACCCCAGGAGAAACAACTTTATGTAGTATTCCCATCTTTGCACAAAGTTTTAACACTTAGATTAAGCTACTTCCACGGTGGCACAGCTGGCTGGTGGCAGGGTGTGAGTCAAGTCCAGAGTGTCTGGGAGTCCAGACAGACCTTCACCCCCAGGCCTATTGCCTCCTTCCCATCTTCTGTGGGCTGGAATCTAGGGCAAGTGTGGCACAGGCCACTGAAGCCTCAGATAGGGACAGCTCCACACGGTGTGGACGACCAGGGATAATGCAGCTGAGGTCGGCCTGGAGTTACGAAGGGGGTGCCCTAGAGAAATGCCCACCAGGTGGGGAGCATCTGCAGGTGCCCGTAGGGAAGCCAGATGACAGGAATGGCTGGAGGAGACCCCGGAGTTCAGCGTGCTCTGAGCAATGGCCTCAGTAAGGGTCTGGCTGGAAGAGCAGAGGGAGGCGCTGTTTCTCTTCTTGTTTAAAGGGCTCCAGGGGTCCCTGTGACCAGGATCAGGTGCTTTCAGGTTTGGAAGCTCACAGATCACTGTCCTCCAGGTTGGGAAGAGTCCACGCAGGAGCCCAGGCTGCAGCTGATCCTGGTGGGGAAGACAGGGGCCGGGAAGAGCGCCACTGGGAACAGCATTCTGGGCCAGAAGCGCTTCCTCTCCAAGCTGGAAGCCACCACGGTGACCAGAACCTGTGAGGTGGGGAGCCGCTGGTGGGACAGGTGGCATGTGGAAGTCATGGACACCCAGGACCTTTTTAATTCCCTGCTCCCCAAGACAGTCATTGGATGTGAGGAACGGGCCTGCTGCTACCTGCTATTGCTCCAGGTCCCCAGGTGCTGCTCCTGGTGACTCAGCTGGGCCGCTTCACTGTGCAGGACCAGCAGGCCACACGGGTGCTCAAGAACCTGTTTGGGGATGATGTGCTATTGCACACTATCCTGCTTTTCATGCATAAGGAGGACCTGGCTGGGGAGCTCGCTGCAGATTATGGTCATGGGACAACCACACGCTTCTGCACTGGTGGCCCAGTGAGGGGGCCAAGTGTGTGCCTTCTAGATTGGGGAGGAGGTTGGAGAGTGGGAGGCCCAGGTGCAGAAACTGCTGGCCCTGGTAGAGCCCATGGTGTGGGACCACGCTGGTGACCCCTACTCCAAAGATGTGTACAGCTTGGCTCACGCAGTGGCTAGAGCTCACCCTGAAGAGCTGAGGCACCAAGTTGCCAAGAGCCTGGTGGACTGTGCACAGGAGTGGTGGGGACACTGTCCACTGGGCTAGCAACAGGCTTGGATGGAACCCGGTGGCTGTGCTGGAGCACAGGGTTAGGTGCCCTGGTCCTGTTTTGCCTGCTACTTGCCAGAGTCCCACTGAGGCCCACCCACAGTGCAGGTCTAAAAATGCAGGTAACCTTCCTTTGGCCGATTGGCTCCCTGGTTATAGCATTGGCCTGCACACCTTATGGTCACTGGTTGGATTCCTGGTCAGGGTTGTACTTGGGCTGCAGGTTCCCAGCTGGTGTGCAGGGTGCTGAGCAGAAACTAAAACTTCATTCCACAGTAATCCTGTAGCTTCGCACAGTTTTAATGACACAGAAAACTGAGCATGAGCAACTTTGCAAAGGCCTGAAGTTTACTTTTTAAGTTTGTTAAGTCTTCCTTTTGACTATAGGCACAAGGTTTAAAATAAATTTGCCTAACTTTAAAATGTGCTTAGTTTTCTCCATAAATTCTTCTTCTCTTAAAAAATAGTGGAATGGCTGATAGTTTATAGTAGAATATGGGTTCATGGCAAAGAGAAATCTTCCATTTTTATTTTGAGCATTAAAAAAAAAATTGCACACTATCTTAGTCCATTGGGTCTTCTAAAAAATAGCACAGACTTAAAACTAGAGGTGATTCACCAACAACAGAAGCATGTCTCCTAGTCTGGAGGCAGACATACTGGGTGCGGTGGCAGCACTGTGACGTTCTGGAAAGGGCTCTCCTGGGGGTGCAGACTGACAGCTTCCCACTGTGTCTGCAGTGGTGGGAGGGACCAGCCAGCTCTCTGGGCCCTTTGTAGAGTCACAGATCACGATCATGAGGGACTCCCGATGGCACGCCTCCTAACACCATCCCCTTGGGCAGTAGGTTTTCAAGGTTTGAATGTTAGATGGACACATCATTCAGACCACAGCAGACACTGACTCACTTTAATAGTTTTCTAGTTCTCACAAAGGGTAGGTCTCTTGCTTTGTGATGCTTGTAGATTTGTAACCCAACCCATCAATCTTTTAACATCCTTCTGTAAATTATGACCTGTTAACTAACATGCAACTGCAGATAAGCAGGCTGATTGCTCAAGAATTCTGGGAACCAATATCAAAAGAAGACTCTGACCTTCAGACATTTCAACTCTGAGATATTTGCTGACCTTCAATTCGTTATCTGAACAGACTGTGTTGGCTTGCACTTATTCCCCTCAGTGGAGCACTGTCAAACCCCTCCTTTGGATTTCTTTGTTTTTTTTTATTTTTATTTTTTAAATTTTATCCTTCCTTTTTCCTCCTTACAAAAATTCTTGCCCATGTCCAGCTGGTAAGATGGTCTTTGAGACAAGAGTCCCCCATCATCTCAGACTGCAGGCTCTTGAATAAACCATTTTTCCTTACACTAGCACCTGTGTCTGGAATATTGGCTTTTTTTTAATCCTCACCCGAGGACATTTTTAAAAATATTTTGTTCAGATGGAGTGGGAGGGAGAGAGAGAGTGAGAAACATCGACATGAAAGGGACACATCGAGTTGTTGCCACCCACACAACCCAACCAGGGCCAGGGACAAAATGCAATCAAGGAACATGCCCTTAGTGGGAACCAAACCTGGGTCTCTCCAGACCGCAGGCCAATTCTCTAACCACTGAGCCAAACTGGCCAGAGCTGGAGGATTAGCTTTTAAAGGGGCAGGCAGCTGAACCTGACTTTGCTATCAGACTTTTATTATAATTTATGAAAGAGATGTCAGGGTCATTCATGTCAATGTTGATTTCTGATAGATCAGTTTATTTACTAATACAATTATTTACTCCCTTTGAGATAAATAAAATGATATTAAAAGTAACAGTTTCCAGTTTTTCTGGCATGCATTATGGTTCCTGTCTTTCAAAAATGAAGGAGGTTGGGGAAAATTGCATATAATTCTATCTGGGTTCTTATGCAAAAAAAAAAAAGGAACTCCTTTCTGCTCCTGGAGCCATGAAGGAGCAGCTGAAGCTGCAGAGCATTGAGAAGAAAGGCTGGCATGGTTGGACCATCAGGTTGGATAGGGAATGGGCTAACCCTCGAAAGTTCTTCAAGGTCACACCACTAGAAAACCAGATGCCATCTTTAGGTTGTGTAAGCAATAAATGAATGAATGAATGAATGAATGAATAAATAAATAAATAAATAAATAAATAAATAAATAAAAAGGAGTTTCTTATTTCTATTTCTGAATGTGGCAGAACACCTTAAAGAAAGTGATCATCCTTATAACAGCCACCCAGAGGATGGGCCTAAGGGCATGCACTGGGAGGCTCCTTGGGATTAAGAGTCCCTGGAGGCTCTGGGTAAAGTATGGGTTAGCGTGGACTGCAGTGGGGGGCCGGGGCTGAGAGCCATGGTGGCTGTTACAGTGAATTGGGCTCTGTGAAGCATGGCTGGGAAAAAAAAGTTCAGATTTTAACATCCTTGGCAGCTCTGTGGGATCCACAGAGGGGCTCTGAGCCCAGAAGAGGCTGTTTCTGAAACTGGAGTGATCTCTCAATGCCCTGATAGCCTCTTTCTCCAAACAGTGCTTATTTGAACAAGTCATAAAAAGGAAATGGGGTGGGAGGAAACAATCGCTTGCAGGCTCTGACAGGAAGCCTCCCACTGCGGGGACACAGCACCTCTCACCCTGCAGGTCTCCAGGCACTGCGGGTCCTGTTTGCAGCAATTGTGCCACAATCTGCGGAGGGCACACAGCTCCTAGGCACTCACCTCATTCCTTGGTTCCCAGCAGCTGTGTCCGAAATATTCGGCCTCCAGGTGGCTCCAGTGTAACTGTGTCCGCCTGGCTTCCTGTTCACCCTCTGCGCACCTACTTCCCCAGGCCACCAGCACCTTCCCAAGCCACCCATTATCGCGCCCACAGCACCGTGCCAGGTAAGGGGACACCTGGGAGGGTGCAGGCACCCTGGGAGGCTGAGATCCGCAGCCAAGTCAACCCATGGATTGCTGGTGTGATCACACAGGTTACTCTACTTCTGGGTTTGTCCGTCGGGGAGATGGGACTATGATAGTGGTGTAGGAGCCACAGCTGGTGGATAGTGGGGGAAACAGGAGTGGATGACAGTCACCCTGAGCCCTCAGCACAGAGCTCTGGGCTTTCCTGCTGGCTGCCTACAGCTTAGCCCTGGGTTCTCATGGGCACTCACAAGGCTTCAGGAAGCTGGAGGAGTTTGCTCATCCTGCTGGACAGATGGGAAAATGGAACCTCCCAGGTGCCCAGCTAGATAGGGGCATGCTTCTCAGTTTACCCTCTTAAGTCTTAACCCCACCCACAGTGAGCCACCCCTTCCACAGGAGACCCCTGAGTACATGTTGTCTCCTGGCCTGGACCTTCTGGAAACCACCCCGTTCTCCCCCAAACACCCCACACCTTTCCCCTGACACATGTAGACTCAGCTGTATGGCAAATAAACTCATGTTCAGGGCACGAGGAACACACTGGTCATTTGTTGCTCGGTTTTCTAATGTTTTAATAAAAATTGTAAGACCTATTTTAATTTATGAGAGCAATTAAAACAATGGAGATGACAGGGCTTAGGAAGGTATACAGGCCGCTCAGAGGATTATTATGGAGATGAATTTCACCATCACCATGGTCACCACTGTCAATATCATCATAACCACATAGGTAGATTGATACTAACACATTCCTGAGGTTTTCAATGCTGACAGAAAGCCATCTAAAGTAGGAAAGTGCCAGAGAATTGTAGCAGTTTTAGGAAGAGCCAGAGAGTAAATTCCCACAGTCAAGGACAGTGTAAAGGAGAGGGTGCTGAGGAAATTCTTCTCTGGGCTGAAAGAAAGGGAGGGAGGGAGAGGGAGGGAGAGGAAAGGCAAAAAGGAAGGAGGGAAGGAAGGAGGAAAAGAAGAAAGAAAGAAAGATGTCTTGATATATTCTGATAATGTGAAAGTAGATGGTTTTCCCAAAGAGGGCCAAAAAATCCATTAAATTATTTCTGTATAACAGAAGCTACCTGAATAGCAAAGAAACTATGAAAATCCTTTTTTAGTTCAGTGGTAATCAGTAAAAGTTAAGTGTAAATCAATGAAGATATTCATACCCATGTGGGTAACTAGAAGTTAAAAGTAGAATACCCCCAAGTGCAAGTGCAGTTTTGGGGAATTCTCACACATGGCTGGTGTTTGCGAGAATTAGCACAGGGCTCCTGAGGTTGTCTGAGGGAACATCTCGTGAGGTGGGCTGTCTGTGCCAGAGTGATGGCTGCAGGTGATCACAGAGCCATGCAGGATGTGGGTTAGTTTGCAACACATGTTTTGAAACAAAAACATAAGCAAGTGATTTGTTTTAAAACATGTCCTGCTTTCTTGTAAACTGGGAATAATAAAGTAACTGTGCACTGTGTTAGCACAGCCTGGTTTCCTTCAAGCTATTCATTGGCCCTTTCAAGTATCACGTGAGTGCGCACAATAGCAGTGAAAATGGCTCCTCCGTGGAGAGTGAGTGCTTATTCGGCCTCTGAACTGGAGGTGCCCTCAGACCTTACCCACTCCCAGTGGACACTGACTTATTATTCTTTTCCTGTTTCTATTCCAGAAGACAATGGAAGGAATTCCAAAGACCAGATATGGGACTATAGCTGAAGGTAAGACAGCCTCCAAGTCCTCTAGAGACACCAGCCCCTCCCTTCACACAGGGACAGAAGCAGTGGCTTTATTATTTTATTTTTTTTAATTAACTAATTTTTGTTTCAGATGTTTCTCCTCCTCCCCAATACCCCCATTCCCCCTCCCTCCCAACCCTGTCCCCAGCTTTGTTGTCTATGTCCATTGTTCATGCATATATGCATATAAATTCTGTGGTTTATCTCTCCACACCCTCTTCTGGGGATTGTCAGTCTGTACCCCACTTCCACGTCTCTGGGACTACCCTGTACCTCAGACTGTTATGTTCATTATATTCCACAAATAAGTGAGATCATGAGATATTTGACTTTCTCTGCTTGCCTTGTTTTGCTTAGGATAATACTCTCCAGGTTTCTCCATGTCATCTCAAAGGATAAGAGATCTTTCTTACAGCTGCATAGTACTCCATTGTGTATATGTACCATATATTTAGCATCCATGTTTTCAAATGTCTTTGCATGTTCTTGTTGCGATTAATTTCTAGTTTTGTGCCACTGTGATCTGAGAAAATGCTTGATATGATTTTATACTACTTGAACTTGTAGAGACTTAGTTTGTGCCCTAACATGTGGTCTATCTTTGAGAATGTCCCATGTGCACTTGAGAAGAATGTGAATTCTGCATTTAGAGTCTGTGCTTCCTTGTTAATTTTTTGTCTAGAAGATCTATCCAGTGATGTCAGCAGGGTGTTGAAGTCCCCTGCTATGATTGTATTGCTGTTGATTTCTCCTTTGAAGTCCTCCAAAAGATTTTTAATATGTGTTGGTGCTCCTATATTGGGTGCATATATATGTTTACTAAGGTTATATCTTCCTATTGTATCCAGTGACAGATCCTTGCAATATTATGTAGTGACCTTCTTTGTCTCTAGTTATGGCCTTCATTTTGAATTCTATTTTATCAGTAATGAGTATTGCTAACCCAGCTTTTTTTCCTTTCCATTTGTTTGGAAGATTTTTTTTTTTATTCCTTCACTTTCAACCTATGTGAGTCTTTTGTTGTGAGGTGGGTTTCTTGTAAACCACATATATGTGAGTCATGCTTTCTTATCCAGTCAGCTACTCTGTGTCTTTTTATCAGAGCATTCAAACCATTCGCATTTAAGGTGATAATTGATATGTACTTATTTATTTCTATTTTTGTTTAGTGTGGTTCTATTTTTCTTTCTATTTCTTCTACTAATTCCAGCAGTCCTTTTAGCATATCTTGCAGTGGTGGTTCGGTGTTAATATATTCCCTTAGCCTTTTTTTTTTTTTTTGGTCTGGAAAGCTCTTTATTTGACCTTCTATTTTGAATGATAGCCTTGCTGGATCGAGTAGTCTTGGATTCAGATCCTTGTTTTTAATGACCTTGATTACTTCATGCCACTCTCTTCTGGCCTGTAGTGTTTCTGTTGAAAAGTCAGCTGAGAGCCTTATGGGGTTTCCTTTGTAGGTCACGTGTTGCTTATCTATTCTGCCTTTAGGATTCTCTCTTTGTCTTTAATTTTTGGCATTTTAATTACTATGTGTCTTGGTGTGGGCCTGTTTGGGTTCTTCTTACTTGGGTCTCTCTGTGCTTTTTGAACTTGAATGCCTTCTTCCTTCACCAAGTTAGGAAAGTTTTCTGTCACTATTTCTTCAAATGTATTCTCTAACCCTTGCCCACTTTCTTCCTCTTCAGCGACTCCTATGATGCGAATGTTATTACATTTCTAGTTGTCCCAGTTTTCTTAAGCTATCTTCCTGTTTTTTAATAGTTTTTTTTTTTGCTTCTGGTTTTCTGATTGGTTGATTTTTTCTACCCTGTCTCCTAATTCACTGATCCGGTCCTCAGCTTCCTCTACACTGCTGGTTAGTCCTTTCAATGTATTCTTAATTTCTGCTATGTCATTCTTCATTTCCACTTGGTTGGTTTTTAATGTTTCTATATCTTTACTCATGGTGCTGATGTTCTTACTGATGCTGTTGAGCTTCCTGAAGATCATGGCTCTGAACTCTACCTCTGATAATTTGTTTAACTGCATTTCATTGGTTCTCTTGTTCTTTCATTTGGGATTTCTTTGTTTCACCATTTTGGCTATCTCAATGGGTTTTGAAGCCTGCCAAATTTTCTTTGTGGGTGTTGGTGTTCTGCTGTTTGTGGCTCCCCCTACTGGGTTTAAATGAGCCTGGGTGGGCCCACATTAAACACCACTGTCAAGTCCTACTTTTCTGGGAAGAGTTGCAAGCCCAGAAAAGGTATAGTTATCCTCTAGCTTTTTCCTGGTGGCTAGTAGTCTCAGTTATTCAGTGCCTTGTAATGTAGCCCTGATGTTCTGCATAAGAGGATTTCCAGAGGGTGGGATAGATTCTGGTTGCTAATAAGCCTCAATTTGCATTTCTTTGCCTCACCTGGGAAAGGCTGAATCTTTGAGGGGTGTGGCGGCTGCTGCTTTTTCCTAGAGCTCTGGGAAGGAGCACAATGGCCACTGACCTTTGTGGCCCAACTCAGTAAAAATTCTGAGTGTCCTTTAAATCCCAGGTGTCCCCACAGAGTTCCAGCCCAGTCTGCCATCTCTCTGCCATAGCCCCCAGGTGAGTGGCTGTGGTTATTTTAGCTCTCTGTCCAGGCTCTCTGCACTATAAATCTGGCTTGGTCTTTATTCTTCAAGGGCGCTGCTCACAGCTAAGACTGCTGCTGTCTGTGGGCTCTCGGCCCACCACCCTCTTGTGCCTCTGCAGATCCTACCAGTGTTCTTGTTGCTGGGGTTATATCTCGACTCTGATAGGGATGCTACTATGGGGGATGGTGCTGGTCTCCTGACCCTCTGAGGCTTTCGCTACCAGCACCTTAGGAGCTCCACTACTGTGCACTGGTCTGTGATGACACAGTGTCCACTGGTCCGATGGTGCCAGGTGTGCTGGTAGACTCATGTTGCTGGGCCTTACCCGCTCCCACTGCCTCCTCCCAGGGAAGACCCAGGATCTTCCAAAATGGTGGGACCTCCCCCGCGGTGCAGGGAGAAGTGCCTTGAAGGGCCGCTTACCATGGTAGCAGGCTGCTCCAGTCCACAGCACAGAGCCCTTCTGCTTTGCGGTTCTGCACTGCTTGGGTTTAGTCATCCACCTTCATGTCCACTCACACTCTCTCACACATTCACCCTCCCTCCAGTCCTGCCCGCCACCATCTTCTACACATCTTTCAGAAGCAGTGACTTTAAACTGAAGAAGAGAAGACAGTGCTCACTTGTTCTTTACCTGCCAAGGCATCATCTCAGCCCCACCAGACCCCACAGCACGATGCTGTCCATGCACATGGTGTGGGAGACGTGCAAATGAAACCAAGTCTGAAGTGGGAGGAGTTTGAACTGAATTAGGAATAAATTTTCTCATTCCTTGTCCACTCTCAGCTGAAACGTGGAAGAGTTCCCCACAGAGATTTAGTAATCATGTTTGCTACAAAATATTCCCAAACATTGCAGAAAAGTGAGAACAACACAGAATAGAGAAATGAAGTAATAAATTTTAGGAGCCGGCAATGAACTCAGAATCCATTTGGGCAATGGAAACACACAGGAGCCGCTTTTCTTTCAGAAAAACTGTCTTCCCTGGTGTCCAGGAAGGGCCTGGAGCATCCTCCTCAGTGGGGCAGTTCCTACAGTGGGCTATGGTTCCAGAGTGGGCTTCCTGTGGACTTCCTTTGACCTAAGACCTCCTAAGTTGTCGGTGAACTTTGTGTGTATTACATAGGACTGTTGGGAGGAAAGTCCGTGGCTTTCATGAGATACCATGAGGGTCCAGGACCGAGAAATCTGAAGCCTCACTGACTTAATAAGAAACATTTATCTTACAGACATGGCAGAAGATAACCGGTTTGCACCATCGTCCTCCCTGAGGCTCGTCCTGGTGGGCAGATCCGGCTGCGGGAAAAGTGCCACCGGGAACAGCATCCTCTCCCAGCCGGTGTTTGAGTCCAAGCTGGGGGCCCAGGCTGTGACCAGGAAGTGCCAGGCAGCCAGGGGCACGTGGAATGGGAGGAGCATCCTGGTGGTGGACACGCCCCCCATCTTTGAGGCAAAGGCCCAGGGCCAAGAGATGTACAAGGACATCGGGGACTGCTACCTGCTCTCCGCCCCGGGGCCCCACGTGCTGCTGCTGGTGACGCAGCTGGGCCGGTTCACTGCCCGGGACACAGAGGCAGTGAGGAGGGTGAAGGAGGTCTTTGGGGCAGGAGCCATGAGACACGTGGTGGTCGTCTTCACCCACAAGGAGGACTTAGGGGGCGAGTCCTTGGATGAGTACGTGCGCAGCACAGACAACTGCAGCCTGCGGAGCCTCGTGCTGGAGTGCGAGCGGAGGTACTGCGGCTTCAACAACCAGGCCACCGGGGAGGAGCAGAGGGGGCAGCTAGAGGCCCTGATGGCAGTGGTCGAGAGGCTGGAGAGGGAGCACGAGGGCGCCTTCTGGAGAAACGACCTCTACTTCGAAGCCCAGATGCTACAGGGGCACGAGCTTAACACCCGCGGAGAGGAGCACAGGCGCTACCTGGCCAAGGTGCGAGCGCACATGGAGGGGCAAAAGCCACACCAGGTGTCCAGGGCGCTCCTCAGAGTTAAAAAGTGCATGATTTCTTACATTGGGTTATGTATTTTCTTTGTGATATGCATTTTGATTGTTCTTGCTATTTTAATTAACTTCCATTTTAGGCAGGGACGCTGAGCATCTTCAGCTGACTTTGCCAATGGGCTTCTTTTTTTCAGACTCATCATCTCTCTGTATGTTTGTAAGAGACTTAATTGTGATTTACTTAGGTTCGATTTTAATTTCTCTTTCTGGCATCTAACATGCCATTCCTGTTCTCCACGTGCTTCCAGATAAATATATTCCAAAGAAAAAATGATTTATTTTCTGTAGTTGATTATTAATCATGGAAGTAAATGATAACCTAACTGGATTCCATCCTGAAATCTTTGAAGTGATGGGTGTTTGCAGAATGGAAGGTGAGTGGACTGTGATATTACACGTGAGGGAAGAAACATGTTATATGAAACGGTGGTAGGAGAATTCCTCATTTTATTCAGGCATGTACTCTAAATTTATGGTGGGTTGTAAGAAAAAAAAAGAAAGCAAAGGTGATGTTCCACCCTGTCTCAGAATTACCTGCAACCCTTCCGGTCTCACTTGACAGTGGGGAGAGAGCATGCATGGGGTCAGGGTCTGGGTGTGTAGTGGGGTTCCCCAGGAAGGTTTGCATGGGTGTGGAATGAAGGGGCCAGAGAAGAAAGGGAACTGCAAAGGTGGACTGTGAGTGAGGAAAAGGCAGGGGCAGTCTCTTGGTGTGGGAAGAACTCTGCAGCACGTGGGACTTTCAGGAGGCCTGCTCCTGCAGACAGGGCCATAGGAAGCCTCAGGATTAGAATCAGAGGACGGTGGATGTTGGTCCGGCCCTGGCTTCCAGTAGCAAGGGGCCATCTAATGTCACAAGGGCACCGATGCACCTCAGATGCACCTCAGCTTCTCTGGGGAGTCTGACCAATTGATGGAAACAGGATAGGGGGAAAGAGAGGACCTGCCTCCTGACAGACCCCTCTTTTCCTTTCTTCAAGCCATGTGGCCGAGGGTCCCCAGCTACCTTCTTCGGGGTGGGGTGTGCGGCAGATTACTTCACTCACATGCCTCCTCACAAGAAACTCCGCTACCTCCTAACCTTTGTTGATACCTTTTCAGGGTGGATTGAGGAGCGATCAGAGGCAGGAGGACTTACCACACTGTGTGCCAAACTGAGTGGAAGGTCGGTGGTCCCTGGTCTTTCTCATGAGGGAGGGAGATGAGCGGCCCAGGAGGGCTCAAGCTCCCCCCGGATTTTGGCACCAGATATGAGGTATCTCACCGAGAAAGAAAAAGAAACGGAGCCGCAAAGGCGGGCAAAAGTTTTATTGAAGCATTCCTGGGTGAGGTTCATTGGTCCACGTGGTGAGGGACAGGGAATTCACGATGCTACTTTCGCCCGGGGAAGATTTATAGGAACATTAGGGACATGGGTGTGGTGATTAGGTGTGGCATCAGGTGACTGGCTAGCTGCTGAGGAGCTTCAAACATGGATTAAGTTGATTGGCTGGGAAGGGTGGTGGTACGTGACCAGGAGTGTCACCTCAGCCACATCCAGCTAAAGCAGAGCCTCCCAAGTTAGGTTTTGATTTCTCCTCTGGCTATCCATTTCCAGGTCATGTGACTTCCCGGTCATGTGACTCCCCAGAGCTCGCCGGCCTTACAATAATGACACCCAGAGTCTCGACAAGATTATCACTCACAAGATTCTTTAAATTATTGAAAATTCTTCTTTCTACCATATGGCTAGAAAGCTATAAAATTCCCTCTATGCATGTTTATGTCCATCAAACAAAGTTTTGTATATTCCACTTTCATTATCATTCAGGCTGAAACACTTTCTGTAATCTTTGTGATGTCTGTTTTCACTCATGGGTTATTTAGAAGTATGGCCTTTATTTCCTAATATTTGAGTATTTTCTAGGAATTGCAGAATCCAATATGGTAGCCCCCAGCCACTAAAGGCTATGAAGTACTTGAAATGTAGCTGGTGTTCTCTAGAAACAGAACCTTACATTTTATCTACCTGTAACTAATTTTAATGTAAATGTTACAACTGGAGGAGTATCAAATACTTCACCAGGAAACACAGCTTTGTCCTTTCAGTAGAAATACATGTGAGCTGAGTGCAGCACCGTGTGTTACTGCCCCACGGCCAGGAGCCATTCCCAGTTCTAACAGGGGCACATCACTGATCTACTCAACACCAATAGACTGGCTCCGTTTGAATGGTTCTGTTACTGTTATTTGAATACTTACTGGAAACAGCATGAATTACAGTGACACTTGTCTACACTGGCATTGGTGATTCAATTGAAAGTCTAATTATTTTGCCCTGGCTGGTTTGGCTCAATGATTAGAACGTTGGCCCATGGACCAGAGAGTCCCGGGTTCGGTTCCTGCTAAGGCTCTTACTTTGGTTGCAGTTTGTCCCTGGTCTCAGTTGGGGTTGTGTGGGTGGCAACCACTCAATGTGTTTCTCTCACAGTGATGTTTCTCTCTCTCTTCCTCCCTTTCTCCCTCCCGCTTTATCTGAAGATAAATGCAAAAATGTCCTTGGGTGAGGATTCAAAACAAAACAAAACAAAACAAAACAAAACAAAGGGCTTGGTCTCTTTCAGAATGTGAGACCACTTCCTACCATTATGTTTTACTTTTGAAACAGGACAGACTGTTCTCTCTCCCTTTTGGCCACTGATGATCAGATCTGACCTACACTTTGGTTTCTTGGTTCATTGTCTCCGTAGACCAAGAAGTTATCTATGAGGGGAGGGGGGGTGTCAAGCCGAGTATGACTAATTTGTATTCTAATGATTTGTTGTCACTGGCATCATGTGTGCCACTGGCTCCTTTCCATCTGGAGAGAAGAATAAACATCAGAACTTTGGCCTCTGGTCCATGCTGTGGTCTAGACTCACCCTGTAACCCACTACACCATAATTTTAATGTCATTTTCCTAAATGACAACCTGGACACTAACATGTGACTGCAGGTAAGCAGCCTGTTGGCTCTAGATTTCTAGGAACTAACATGATAAGAAGCAGACTCAGACCTTAAGACATTGTGGCTCCAGGATCTCCACGAAGCACACCCGCTGTGAGTGTCTTATCTCAGGGACTCTCCCTGCTCCTTAACGGTCACTGGGGGAGTTGATGAGCTCCAAGACTGGGTGTATTGGACAGATGTGCACACTGGGAATTTTATTTCTTCGCCATTTGGATCTGTCCCACTTGTACCTTGTAAAGGTCATTTGTGGTATCAGTTGGTATGAGATAAAATTCTAAAACCAGAGGATTGGTTTGAGACAACTTATTGGTTTGAACTTTATCTTACTTTTGGACTTTGTTTCTGTTTGAAAGTGGGTGATTCTGTCTTTTTTCCACCAGAGAGTTCATTAGGTCACATTTTACCTGATTGATTGACTTATAGATATAAACTAATGACTGATAAGAATTGTCTTGCCAAAAGTCTGATAAATGAGAAAGAACTCTCATGGGCTAGTTTTCATGTCATATTGTTATGTATTATGCATTATGTATTATTTTCATAATAAGGATTTGACTCAAGAAAGATCTATATTGATGGTTCAAAGAAAAGTAAACCAATTATAACATTAATAATCTAAGCCTGATAATGACAGTATGAACAGATAAATGTATAGAATGATATCTTTCATGAATATTAATAAAGAAGCACTAAATAAAACATTAGCAAATGGACTCCTAAACCACATGAAGACTGTGATATATCATGATCAAGTGACACTTGAAACAGAAATAAAAAACTGGTTCAATATTAGGGAATCTATTAATATCATTGACTTATTAATAGATTTTTAAAGACTTAAAATAGCCCTGGCTGCTTTAGCTCAGTGGTTAGAGCATGAGCCCACAGACCAATGAGTTCAGGGTTTGATTCCAGTCAAGGGTACATACCTTGGTTGAAATTCGTTTCTAGCTTTGGTTGGGGTCATCCATGAGACAGCCACTTTCATGTCAATCTCTCTCTCTCTCTCTCTCTCTCCCCCTCTCTCCCTCCTTCCCTCCCTCCCTCCCATTCTATCTGAACAAAAATGGGAAAATGTCCTTGGGTAAGGATGAAGAAAAAGAAAAAGAATTGTAAAATACACAAGTAGATGATTTTTTAAAATCCTCACCTGAGAATATTTTTCTATTGAGTTTGTTAGATAGAGAGAAAGGGAGGGAGAGATATTGGAAGGGAGGAGAAGAGAGAGGGAGAAATAGACATGAGAGATACATCTATTGGTTGCCATGTACCCATGCTCCATCAGAGGATTAAACCTGCAATCCAGGTACATGCCCTTGACCAGGAGTCTTATTTGTGACCCTCTCTGACACTCTACCCACTGACCTCCACTGGCCAGGGTCACTAAGATAATTGTTTAATACTTTTCACAAAATGCAATTGCCATTCATGATAAAAACTCAAAGAAAATACTTACTGTGTGTTTCTTAATGATTACCCACTCAGAAATACACACCACATACTCCTGTTGGCCAGTATGAATGCATAACCAGGAACAAAGTAAGCATGCCCATTTACTGCTATTCAACATTATATAGATGTTTTAGCCAATGCATTTAGACAAGAGAAATCAATTAAAGGGATAAAAATAAATAAAGTAGAAGTGATACAGAAACTACAGTACATCCCGGAAGTGGAATACTATGCATCAGTAATAGAGAACAGTTATCGATACAAGCAACTTGTATGATTCTCAGAATCATTGTGCTAGATGAAGGAAGCAAGTCTCAAAAGGGACTTTATTTTACTTTCTCTAGATTCTCAGTGTCTGGCATAAAATCTGCCATGAAGTTCAAACAATCACTGACTGTTAATGAATAAACAAATAGGTATACATTCCCAACACTCTTCAGAGAAGGAAACATGTGTTTTTCAATTGTGTTAACTACAATGCATAGTATTTATCAAGGACCTTCTGTCTGCCTTCTGCCCTGTGAGACAAATGGGCAGCTGACCTCTCAGGGTATTTCACATGGGCATCTCATCTCTTGACTACTTCTCAAGAGCAGAATCTTATACTTGGCCTCATCTACAACATTAACCTGAATGTAAACATAAGAATAATGAAACACATTTGCAAGAAAGTAACCACAGAGAAGTTAATGACTTTTCCATATTAAACTTGTATTTACTTTTCCTTGCAAGGTATGTGGGGCTCTTTTGTTAAATGTGTGCTTCTAGAAGCTTTTGATACAAAAAGATGTCTAATTCCAACCTCAGAATTGGTCTGAAACTCCAATGATGAAAACAATAGACACAGAATGCACCATATTCCGCAGAGTGAAACTGTTCTAATGTGTCAGGGAAATCACCAGAAGCACACAGCCGACTTTTAAAGAAGAATTTTATTCACTGGCGGGCTGTGGGGGTCTCTCCAAATCAACAGCCCCCAGCCTTCTTTGTTGCCCACTTTTAAAGGCACAAACTACAGAAAAAAAAATCTACATTCTTGGTGCCACTTTTGGCACCATTAAGGTGGGGAACTGATACAGAATGGGTGACAGGAGCTGTATATAGAGGTCGGTGCAACCATTAACGTCTTTTTTTCCACGGTTCCTCTGAATTTCCCAAGACCATCATTAACCCCCTTATCTTTATAGCTTTCTCTGGGTTTCTCAAAGCCCTCATGTTTAAAAAAAAAAAAAAAAAAGCCAGGGTATACAAGTGCAGTAACTGAGGGTCAGATTGAGTTACTTCATTCCCATTGGTTTATGTATGTCAAATCATTGACTTTTTTATCTTTCTCTGTGACAGGGCTATCTTGGCCCTTAATTACAAGGAGGTTTATAAAAGTTATTCTACTCTGTATAGTTTTTGTTTTTTTGAAACCTTCTTAAGACCTCTCCAGATATTCTATTTCTGAGTTCCCAATTCTGTTGGGGCCTAGATCTATAAGGATCCCCCTGAAGAATCATAAGCAGAAAAATTAAGGTCCCAATAAATTCAGGAGTCTCATCTTTAAGGGGTCTTGAGAGGCCTGGACCATCTATTTTTCCCTCTTCAGCTGAAAATGGTGCAGCCAGGTCGAGATGCCATTGACCTTGATAGCCTTTGGTGTAGTTCGGATGACATTGTACGGTCCCTTCCAGGCCAGAGTTAGTCTCTGGGTGGTCAACTTTTTTATCCATATTGAGTCCCCGGGCTGGAAGAGGTGTAGAGGGTCTGAGGTGGGCATAGGCAGGGCATCATGGGCGTGCTAATGGACAGCCTTCTGGGTGGACTGCAGGGCTTGTAAAAACTGTAAGAGGGCAAGGAGAGCAGAGTGGTCCAGTTTTCACTGGTTTCTAAAGTAAATTTGGTTAAAATTTCCTTTAAGGTCCTGTTCATGTGCTCTACCAACCAAGAACTGTGGTCAGTAAGCACAATGGAGCTTCTAATTTATATTTAACTCTTTAGAGATAATCTGTGATATCTTTGCTATAAAGACAGGGCCATTGTCTTCTCCAAGGGTCAGAAGTAGCCTAAACCTGTTACTCTCTTTACTACATCCCACACTGTTATTCTACTACCAGGGTCAAGCTCTCCCTCTCTCATTTAGTATCCCATTTTCTTCCCTTTTTGAGTATTCCTCCAATGTCCTGTCTTTCTGTAATATGTACGTCCCTTTCTTTTATTCCTTTTTATTTTTTAATTCTCTCTATTCTTTCTTTTTTTGCTTCTTCCATCTCCACAATCCCTCTTCAACTTGCTGACATACCCTCTGCGACTTTTTCAGTCCCCTCCCTGCCATGATCCTGAGGGCTTGCTCAATTTATCTTCTGTCTGCACATCCCTCAGTTTTTCTTCTCTTTCTCCCTACTCATACCCACACATTCCTGCTTTTCCCTCAACCTTTTCCCTTTCCCTGTGATCTTATTGGACTTGTCTGCCTCTCAGGAGTTCAGTCAGCTTGGTGTAACCTAAGTGGGTAGTCTGGTGCAGCTGGTTGACCAGAGTTTGACCTAGAGCCTCTGAGACCCACAACCTCCCTTCAGGCAGTGTCTATCATCCATTGATTTCCTTTATGGCTTGTTTCTGCTTGGCTATGTCATCTTCTGACCTAGTGTATCTGGAGAGGTCCCACTGGTTTTAGGGTGATGAGTTCAGCTCTTTCGGCTGAAGGTCCCCTATCCAAGGACTGTGACTAAATAGCATGGTCCAGAGTACCTATTGCTGCCCCAGCATACCTGATTTCTTCTTGGGCATAGCTTCTCCCATCTGTAAACAATACCTTATTTGATGATGGAAGTGGAATGTCTGGGTGGGTTGTCTGCACTGTTAGTTACCTCTAGGCAGTCCTGTAGAGGTTTCTCCAGGTCATCGTCTGGAGGCAGGCTGGCAAGATTTATTGCCAATGTATTGTGGAAATTGATGGTGGGCTGCGCTGGATTGGCAGTTGCCATCAATTGAACAATCACTGGAAGAGATTACACCTGAGTACAGGCTATGAGCACTCTGGCACAACCTGAAATGAATGAGTTACAGTATTTTCCCTATGGTGTATAGTCCTCTTTTAAGTCCAGGGGTAGGTAGTGCCCCATTGGCTCGGTCAGGACTGAGTCTGCTGAACCAGTATTTATTATGTTTAACTAGTTTATCCCCTATTGTCATTTTTACAAGTCATGAATTGCTTTTTATTTTGTTCCTCTACACCTGACTTTGCCCTGGTCTTTTCTATTCCCAATCGGGATCTAGACCTATCGTCCTAATTCCTCCTCATGCTTTCCTTCCTAAAGTGATCCTTTTCCATGGGCCCTGTTTCCCTTAAAGGTGCTATTATTTTTGCTATTCTTTTGTCTTTTTTTTCCACCGTGGTGTCCTTATTATTATATACCTTTTGAGCTATTTCAACCAATTGGGCCTTCATACCTAAGAGGAGAACAAGATGAAAAGCATCCAAAAAAGCCCTCCAGCCCTGGCTGATTTGGCTCAGCGATTAGAGCGTCAGCCTGCAGTCAAGAGAGACCCAGGTTTGGTTCCTGCTAAAGGCAGTTACCTTGGTTGCAGTTTGTCCCTGGCCCACGTTGGTCGTGCGGGTGGCAGCCACTCAATGTGTCCCTTTCATATCGATGTTTCTCTCCGCCCCCCACTCTATCTGAACAAAAAATGAAAAAATGTACTTGGGTGACGATTAAAAAAATAAATAAATAAGAACCCCTTCACCGGCAGTATATGCGTCCCACAGCAGGTGGAGGGATGGGATAATTTTTTCTCATTCTAAGTTTTCAAAAGAATGCAGAAAAGGGAAGCATCATCTTAGCGGGTGTGTTTACATGGGGCAGAGTATTTTTCAACTCTCTTCAAGAGCATTTTATGCTGGTGCCCAGGATTGCTATTTTCAATTCCCCAAAGTTCAGAGAAGCCTGTTGGAAATTGTCTGTCACCAAACATGGGGTTGTGAACAAGCCACCCTGGCTGGCACCGGAGGGACACTCCTCTTCTGAGGAACGACCGCTCTTCCTGGGGAACCCTGAGGCCCCTACTGCCATGGGGTAAGTGCTTGCACACCCACCAACATCTCATCACCCCAGTGACTCTCCAAGGTGGGTGGGGAGGCTGGAGGTTTGGATGCCAGCATGGAGCTGCTCCCCTTTCTTGGTGTAGTGGCCACCACTTGTGCATAATTGCCCGGGCAAGCAGGGAAGATTCACCTCCTCTGAGAGGGGCAGAAGGATGGGGGTCCAGCCCTGCATTCCCTGAGGTGGCACAGTAGAGATCCCAGATTGTAATGATGGACTTTACCCTGGTTGGAACAGCTGAGCAGGGGTGACAGACATAGCCCCTACTGTTTGATTGGGCCAGGGCTGTCCCCATTTGCCTGTTTCCTGCTGGGGTTCAAGCAGTTGTCCCCTTCAGAAATGGCAATATTTGGCCCAATGATGTCTCCTTTGGCAGCAAGGACATAGTCTTGGCTTCTTGGCAGAGTTCCCTGACTGGTTTTTGGTGGTGCTGGCGTGCTGCTTACACTCCCTAGCAAAATGACCTGGCTTTCCACAGTAACATCCTTTACTGCTTCCTTCTGCCTTACCAGCAAACACTCAAGGACTCAGCTATAGTGGTCCCGTGTATATGGGAAGACCCAATATCTATACAAATGGAGATGAATTCAGATATATTAGCTTTTTTACATTAAGGGCACAGCGCCTCCCTGCAAGGCCTATTAGCATTGTCATAAGCAAGCTGTTTACTATTGATGTGCCAGCCCCTAAATCACTTATTATTCTGTCAACTTTCTGTAGCAACCCAGCTACAAAACCTTGCTATGGCCCTTCAGATCCTTGACTGATGGATGTAAGATCTAGCGAATTCTCCCCTTTAGTTGGGGGCTCTTTCTAGGCCTTTCACTGTGTCTCTGCCTTGCAATCACTTTCCTACCTCTTCCCAGGTTTCTCTTGAGGCCCAGTGTGGGGCCCACTACCAGTATCTGTGCCCTGGTCTAGAGGGCATGGCTCTTTATCTATGGGGGTGGATGTCTCATTAAATCAAGCCATTGATCAATATAGCGAAATTGGTCTGGAGGTCCTGGCTCCCCTGTGACCTGATTCCAAACTGCCTGCACTAAGTCAGAGATAAAGAATCCCATGTCAGGCCAGCTCACCCTGAATGTGGGTCAATTTAATTCACAGAAGGTCCTTAACTTTCCTTTAGATATTTTTGTGCCCTAATCAGAACCTTCTTCAAATCCTTTTCTAATAATGGTTCAATATGCACCCCAATGAGGTCTTCTGGGCACTAGGGCTACAGTCCATGATTAGACGAATCATAACAAAGTTGAGGAAGACACAGAAGGGAGGCAGAGGAGGACAAAAACAAGGGAAGACACACAAGACAGTAATTTTTCTTTGTCTGCCTGGCCTCTTCCCTCGAGGATATTTCGATGCCTTTGGCATTTGGCAGGTTGATATAACCCCCTGGCATGGATCAGGTTTGCAGGTGGAAACCAGAATGTCCTCAAGAATCTGATACTGCCCTTAGCCTTATGAGGTTGTAACAGAACTGCAGGTAAAGACTCACACAGGCTCTGTAACAAGCGTCGTCAAGCAGGGTCACTCACACATGATTACATTCACACACAATCACACTCCAGAAGTGCCTGGGAGGTGATCAGACTCCCCTTCTGCCTCAGGGGCAGGCCAAAAAAAATTCCTGATCCTGTGCGAACAGAATAGGAACCTCACCTAATGTCTCAGGGTGATCCCCAGGAGAGCAGACGCTGTGCCACATCCGGTCCTCTCACTCTCACCCAGATAGACCGTTTTGGTTGTTGTTGTTGTTGTTGTTTTTAAATATGAGGTCCTTGAGACCTAAGTATGCTCTTCAGGGCCCTCATCAGAAACCTAAGTAGGATTTTTGGGGCACTGGAATGTCTCAGGTTGTAACCCCCATGAGCACCTCTCGGTGTCCGACACCCAGACCGGGAGAGGCCTTTTACCCTAGGTATCTAACCCCTGCCATCACAAAGCACCAGTGATCTCGCTGGGGCCTCCAAATCTTGTAACGTGTCAGTGAAAAAAACAGACACACACAGCCAAATTGTAAATAAGCACTTTATTCACCGGTGGGCTGTGGGTGGGCATAGACTCCCCAAAACAAGAGCCCTGAGCCTTCTTTGTTGCCCACTGTTAAAGGCACAAACTACAGAAAACAAAAAACAAAAAAAACTTTATTCTTGATGCCACTTTTGGCACCATTAAGGGAAGGAACTGATACAGATTGAGCAAGAGGAGCTGTTTACACAGGTCAGGACAATCATTAATCTCTTTCTCTCCATGGTTCCTCTGAGTTTTCCAAAGCCATCATTAACCCCTTTATCTTTATAATTTTCTCTGGGTTTCTCAAGGCCTTCATATTTACAAAGAAAACCACCAGGGTGTGTACATGCAGTAAACTGAGGGTCAGAATGGAGTTACTTCAAAACCAAACCTGTGTTCCTGTGAGCGACTGTTTCTGAAAGAATCATCAGCTTCTTTCTGTGGTGCTTCTCTTATCCTTATTCCTTTACTAACTTTTTTCTAAATGTACAGACTAAACTGATTTTTGATTGGGGGAAGTAAATGAGAGGTATATGTCCTATTGGGGGAAATATGGTATGGGGTGCAGATAAGCCAATTGCAGGACGGCAGAGCAAGGTCAGTGGCATGTGACCACAAGAATGTGCTGGTAGAACATGGGAATGTGCTTTGGGAGATCCTAGAAATTATTGGTGTAGGAGTACCCAGTGGAAAGAAGTAAGACTTCAACTATTGTTATCCTTATATTAAGAAAAATTTTTTCCAGGAAACCACAAGGGTCTCAGAAATCTTGGTTTTATACTATCTCTACCAGCCTATAATGAAGGAATCCAAGGAGAATGTAATCTCTGATAAGGGGGGGGGGGGTAAGAACGTAGTTCAAACATTCAGGGAAAATGAGAAACATTTTAGCGGGTAGACCAAGCTGAGCTCCAAAATAACCTTGAATTTTACCAAAAAATGAAATTCATCCTTGTGTTCTTAGAAGTATTAATAGTATTTTCTAAGGTAAAAGAAATTCCATTTTGCACAAATATGAGAGAATAGAAAAGTTTTACTATGGTAACAACAGACAAAGAATTCAAGTGGGTGGAGGCAGTAGTGTGCGGATGACCCGCCCAGCAGTAAGGATCCCTGTGGGGTGAGGAAAATGTGGTGGCAAACGATTTGTTAAGCCTGTATTTACTTTTTTTAGATAGAGAGGAAGGGAGGAAGAGAGGGAAAATAACTAATATAGAACTACTTACTCAGCAAAATGGTTATATTGAGGTTGGTCATTGAATTTCTACAAAAATATCTGAGTATACAACCCTTTGTTCTCTCATCTGTGGAATCTCTGTCTTTTCCTCTCTCTGACATTTCACTTGGCTAAATTCTCAGAGATCTGTTTGCCAGACAACTCTCTGTTCTTCATTGAGCAGATGATAAGGAACAATCTCAGTCCGTCCGTAAAAACGCAATTCAACACATTTTCCTCCATGGGTATCTCTAGCTATAGAATACATAAAGGAAATAGTGATTTCTCTAAACACATGTGCCAAATGATAATTTTTCTCCTAAAAGCAGAAATAAAGAAAAACCACAGGCTGAGATTATCTGCCAATTGAGAGAGAATCTGGAGGAGAAAGGGTTACTGGGGATGAATAGAGAAAGCTTGGGATCCTCCTTGGTTGGTCTCCTACCTTCCTTTCCTCTGTGTCTGAGAAAGAGTTCAGAAGACAGGGGGCATCCACACATTCTGCCTTGGAGCTTTTCATATTGGGAAAGTGTCTGTCTCCTGTTAAACCATCCAAATGTCTACCAAGGACATTTACTACACTCCTTAGACCTGAGAGACAAAAACCGAGGTCTTTGACTTTGGGGAATGAGTTAAATGGAGAAGGAGCACCTGAAAATATGTCAGAAATATAGACAGATTTTCACTCCCTTAATTATCCATGAATACAAGTTTCAAAATGAAAAAAGCAATATTAAATACTGTCAAGATTACATCAAGTATGTCCTCTTGACCCTCAGCTTCAGCTCGGGCATTCTGCTGCCTTTCAGCACAGCTTCTCTCCCTTTCTGCCAGGGTGCGCTCCATGTCTGCCTTTCTCATTATCCGCTCCTGTTCATCCTGCAGCTTTCTGATGTTCTCCTCGTACTCCTCTCTTAACTGCCTTTTCTCCCTCTCCAGCTCAGCTCTGCTTTGTTCTTGTATCGCATGGATCAGTTTCTGAATCTCCGCCTCAGCCCTTTGGAACATCTGATTAGTGTAGAACCCTCCCTCATTCTCCATCACCACGCACTGCACCATGTCCAGCAGCTGGGCCCTCTGAGCCTCCTGCTCAGCCCCTGTTGCCTTATTGTTGAGCACACAGTGGCGATCCCTGAACTCAGCCACCAGATCTTGGAGGACTTTAGGAGCTTCCTTTAAATAATCATGGAACTCCATTCCATCCAAGTTATCTTTGCCGGTGAAGATGAGAATCATGTACCTTCTGGCTTTGGATCCAAACATCGTCAGCATCTTCTTTACCGCTTTCTCCTCCTCCCATGTGTATCGGCCCAGTCGGACCACCAGGAGCAGAGCGTGAGGCCCCGGGGAGGTCAGGACAATGAAATGAGCAATCTCCTTTTCAGTGTCAGCAGCTGGTACCTCGGTGTCAAAGATGCCAGGTGTGTCCACGACGACAATTTCCCTCCCACTCCATGTGCTGCTCCCTTTCTCACAAACCTTGGTGGTGGATTTTGCTGCAATGCTGGAATGAAACTTTTTCTTTCCAAGGATGCTGTTCCCTGTGGCACTTTTCCCTGCTCCAGTCTTACCCACTAAGACAAGTCTCAGTTGTGAATCCCTAGAGTCTTGGTTTTCAAACCCTGGGACATCAGGAAACAAAAGCCAGAGTGTTAGGATTGACCTCTAACATTTTTCTCTGAATGGCCACCTCCCACTGGTGCCCTTCTCTGTTGCCTTTGAGGGTCTGGTCCAGAGATCGACCCCTTCACCCACTGGACGTCTGTGCCAATGCTGGACCTGACCTCATCCTGCAGTACTTGGGAAATGCAGAGATTTTTCAGGAGTCCCTTGGGCTCTCACTGTGATCTTGGGAAGCTAAGAGCCAACCCTGGGAGGAGGGTGGCAGTTGGTTCAAGTGAGAAATCTGATCTGCTGGTGGTAGGTGTTCCTTATGAGCTCATACAGAAAGTAACAAATCTGATGTTGAGACATCACAGTGGAAGATCCCGGGCCCCCAATATATATACAAATGCAATTCTTCTTTCCATTCAAGCCATCCCACCCTTGAAAGAGGGGAAAGAGCACATGGGCAGAAGACAAAGTATTCCTTCATATATCACTTCATCAGGGATGATGACCCTCAGGAGAATAAAATGACTGACCTTTAGATTATGACCTTAACATGGAAATCTAGTGATGTTTTCTCATCTTAAATTAACATGTTGAAAACTTATAGCCCGAAAGTATTGACAGTTCTCTGGAGTCACTATAAAATCTCCTGGTGCGTTAATAGTAATAATAACTCGTCCAGAGGAGCATCAGTGGTTATCCTTCCTTAGCCTCACTTGGTTAGGCAGGCCCACTCCCTAGGACACTTGGAAGTTAATCACAGAACAGCAGAGCCAGTCACCAGAATGATGTTTTCAAAATAACTGTGTCTTCAGTTAAACTTTACATCAACTATATAGCTCTTTCCCTATTTCTACTCAGCAATTCTCTGCTTATCTCTTCAAGATTTGTGAAGCACCGACCAGCAGGATGGACAACAACTGAGAGCCTGTTTCTCCAAGAAGAAAGACCTGCCAGCACAGCCCTGGGAAAATCCTCATTCCTGCAGGAGGGACCCTGTGTGACAACCACCTGTCTCTGCACACATCCTCACACTGACAATATCTCAGACATGATTACTAACTCCATTTCATTTTTCAGAGATATCTTCAACAATCAGCCAGTTCATCAGACCAGAGACCTAGGAGTCCCCCTTGAACCCTCTCTTCCCCTTACTTTCCAGATCCAACCCATCAGGAAGTTCTCTCGACCCCATCCACCAATCTGACCGCTTCTCTCCATTGTGAATACCAGCACATGAGCCCAAGCACCATCACCATCCGGCCATAGCAGTCCCCTCACTGGTGTCTTTATTCCCACTGTGCCCTCTTCTGTCTATCCCATAAATTGGAATGAATTTTTTATAATTTCAAGAAAACAGAAGAGAGATTTTGCAGAACCACCCCTCTGGCTTCCACAGAATCAGCAGTTGCCCCGTCCCCCACACTCTATGGTGAAGCTGCTGCTAATCCAGGGAGACCCAAAACCATCCCTAAAGCACAGTTCCCACATCTGATCACCAGAATCCTGGGGTGAGAGAAGTGTATTTCAGAGGCTGTGAGCAGGGGCTACAGAATGGCTGAGATAAAGAGAAAATATGGTTGGGAGTTGAGATTATGATTTCCTTAGCATCACAGTGGAAGGCCTCAAACTAATATATCCTGAGGGCATTAGTTTGCCTTCCAGAGAGGAGGTAGGAAGATCACAAGGTGAACAGAAAAGCCACCACAGGTCAGCTCCACCACTGCAACAACTTGCTGAGCTGAGAGCATGAGGAAATCTGGGTGATAGACTATGGATATGACTGTGAATGCTCCCCGTCACTACACATGCCTCTTTGGCGTACCATCTGCAGCTCCTTCCACAACCTGCGGAGTCTGTCTCTCACCCCTTGCTTCTAGCTGGGCCCTCTGACTTGCTCTGGACAGTGGGTAGTGGGAGTATCTTGCAAGTAGACTGAACTTGCCCATGTGCTCTGGCTCGCTGTCCCCTTCTGCTCTTCTCTACCCTGCAACTGCTTTATGAAGAGGTCTGGACTAGCCTGCTTGATGATGAGGGACACAGGCCACCCTGTCACCTGGCCTGTCCATGAGCCTGCTAAGTACCAGACTTGGTCATGGGGCTCAATTCAAAATTACCCAGTTGCTGGATCTTCAGAGTATCATGTTAAGAAAAATACATCCAATGAAAAAGGACAAGAACCAGAGGATTTCCCTCACCAATGAGATATAAAATAGAAAGTAACAAGCAAACAAAAACACGTAGGCAGAGGCCACAATATGGTGGTGACCAGAGAGGAAAGAGGGGTGTGGGAGATCAAAGAGGATAAAGGGTCAAATATGTGGTGATGGAAGGACACAGGCTTTGGGTGGTGAGTCCACAATGCAATACACACATGATGTATTACAGAATGTACACCTGAGAGTTATATAATGTTATCGCCCAATGTCACCCCGATAAATTTAATGAAAGAAAAGATTTTCTAGTTGTGTGCTGGGCCACCAGCCTACCACAGGGGCATGAGTAAGTGTGGCTGACATGAGCCCAGTTGGCCCAGTCATAGAACTGCCCAGGGACCAACCAAATCGAGAGCCAAGAAATGGTTGAGATTTCAGGCTACTAAATTGTGGTGCGGTTTGCTGAACCTGCAAACTTTCCACTGACCGAGCCCATTAATATAGATAACGGAGTAAAGAAGAGTTAAGTGAGAGACACCGAGTAAACCAGTCTCTTGAATGTGTTGGTTATGGTGAAGCCACCAGGAGCAGGAAAATGAGGGACCTGAATGAAGAATCAACTTCTCTCACATTCCTCCTTCCCTGTCCTCCCTCAGGCTGAAGAGAGGGGCAGAGAAGCTACCAGAGAGGCCACAACTGGCCATTCCGATGAGCTCACATTGTGGGAAGCAGGGAAGGAGAAACCGCATCCAGCTGGGATGAGTCAGGATGTTTTACCCTCACGTCCCCTTAGCCGTGATGCTACGTCCAGAGGAGACAGTGTAGAGGGTCCACAGAAAAGAAAGAGCAGAGACAATAAAGAGAAAATAAGCCCTGGCCAGTTTGGTTCAGTGGTTAGAGCATCAGCCTGCAGACCAAAGGGTCATGGGTTTGATTCCCAGTCAAGGGCAGATACCTGGGTTTCAGGTTTGATCTTCAACCCCATTCAGGGCCACCTGGGAGGACACTGATCACTGCGTCTCTCTCACATAAATGGTTCTATCTGTCTCCCCCACCTTCCTGCCTCCCTCCCTTGGACTTTATCTAAAAAATCCACTGGAAAAATAATTTTGGGGGAGGATCAACTAAATAAAACAAAAGAGAGAGAGAGAAAGAAAATGGGTTGGAATATTTTGTTTTTGCTCAGTTGGAGGCAGGCTGACCAGACAGGAGAACCCCCTGCCAGGTCCCCTCCATCAAGCCTGGCCTGAAGGACCTCAGCACCCTCTTACCATGGCTGGTCCTGGGTTCACTGAAGCTGGAACTCATACCGGGGCATAGAGCGGCCATAGTACTTTGAATTCCTGTAGACAACAAACACAAATCACTTTAGGGAAACAGAGAGGAACTGGAACCTAAAACCACACACAGCAACAATTTCTTTTCACAAACTTGCCACTTGATTTCACCCTGCCCCTCCATTTCCCAATACTTCTTCTCAGCTCCCCAGAATCAGTTTCATTTTCACTGCTTGCTCTTTGTCTACACAAACAGCAATGCTCCAAGTGCTTCCTCAGCTCCGTTCTGGGCCCCTTGCCCCTAATCCAGTGAATTACTGCTTTAAATGCCACTTATACGTTCTCTGCAGCCGAGACCCTCCTCAGAGATCTGAACTTTCACATCCCATTCAAGACCCCCATGGGCACATCCATGGGCACCTGAACCAGACCTCGGCCAGAATGGAAGCTGTGACCACCCCTCCCTCAACCTGTCCTGCCTGAGATCCCGGAAACGATCTGCCCCCATGTCAGTGGGCGGCATCACCATCCAGGCAGTGGCACCTTGGGGTCGTTGACTCTCCTCGCTCCTCACTGGGTCATCAGTCTACCAGCAAATTCTAGAAATTCTACCTCCAAACATGCAAATCTAGCCATTCTCTCCACCTCCTTGTTCATCCATCCATGGCTGTGTTTGCCATGTAACAGACTCCTAACCTGTCACACCAGTTTCACTCTCCTTTCTCCTCTATAAGCAGATGCATTTTTAAAACTAAAGTTTGATGTCCTTCTTCAATGCCTCTCCCCCAACACCATCACCACTGACAGTACAGGGCTGCTGTGGCCCTCTCACTGATTGCTCTGACCGCACTCCCCGGGGTTCCCACAAACACACCCCGCAACAGGAAGGCATTGCTGTGCTGCTTTCCTCAGCCCCTTTGCTTGTGAGCTCCATGATCAAGGGAAGACCATGTGTGTCTTGTGTTTCCCTGACTACCTGGGGGTAAGCACAATGCTGGACAAAAGGTGGTTCTCATTAATATTTGTTAAATAAATTGATCAAAAGTCTCTCTGAGCTCTGGCAGGTGTGCCTCGGTAGGTTGGGCCTTGTTTTGTGCATGAAAAGGTTGTCAGTTCTATTCCTGGTCAGGGAACATACCTGGGTTGTGGGCCCGATTTCCAGTGAGGGTCATGCAGGAGGCAGCCGGACAATGTACTCCCTCATCGATGTTTCTCTCTCTCTCTCCCTCTCCCTTCATCTATCTCTAAATTGAATTTAAAAAATTTTTTTTTTTATCTAATTCTTGTTTCCACTTTAGTCTTTCTGTTCACCCTACATCTGTGAAAGAGATTATCCTCTCTTTAATCATACACTTACTCATACACACATGTTGTTACACTTTTAATAATTTTTCTACTTGCTGCCTATAAATGTTTAGCAATAGAGAAAGCCATTTGAAGACCTGTTATTGCAGCTGACTATGACTGTGACAGGTTGAAAACACCAGTTGCTAAGGACAGGCTCATCAGTAGGAAACCATCAAATACACACTTGAAATGCTGTTAGAAAGACAGAGCCGCTTTTGAAAGAAAAGTTATGTCTTTATCCCCTAAGGATGGAGAGTAGAAAACAATTTCTACAAACTGGGAAGAGAAATCACAGAATGTTTACAAGATAGCTTGCTCAGAACACTGGAATGCCTCATTGGTTGTGTGTTGACCCATGTATTAAGAGGCCACCAGTTAGATTCCTGGTTGGGTCTCATGCCCAGGTTGTGGGTTAAATCCCCAGTAAGGGGCATGTAGGAGGCAGCAAATGGACATTCTTTCTCATCAATGTTTCTATGTCTGTAAAATCATTAATAAAAAAAAAACTTTACAAACAAAAAAATCAGGTTGGGCCAGAGAATTGCTGTTGGTGATGGGTGTTCGGAGGGGGACACACCGAGCTGTGCTTCTTACACTTCCTGTGCTCTTCCCCCACCAGCTGCCCTCAGCTCACCTGTGCACTCAGCCAGCTCTACCCCTGAAAGCTTCCAGTTTATGTATATATTCAATAAATGATAAAAGAAACTTTTTCTTTGTAAAATACCCTCTGAACAGCAATCCTTGAACGAGTTACTAATTTCTAGGGATCAGCCTCTAAAACAGATTACAACCTAAAACCAGCAGAGACAGAAAACAGAAAGCAATGGAAAATCTATGCTGAGAGCAAGTTTGCTGGGAGGTATCAGATACTGATCCAGGAGAGAAGTCCCCTCTAGAGCACATCCCACGCTTTCCTCCTCTCCCCCCAACACACACAGAAATGCCCATATTCCTTTACCTGGACAGTCTGGGTCCGGCTCAGGTCTCTAACTTGAAAGGCAATGCTAAGCCAGGATGTTGAGGAGAAAGAGTAAAGAGGAAGTGGGGGGAGGAGCTGTCCAAAGTGCTCATGAAAGAGACCCACCCACCCTACTATCTGAAAAAACTTTCTGCCTTTGTAGTCCTACCTCAAGGCTTGGTGCTGGTGGAAGCCAGCCTTGGTGAACAGCTTGGCCTCTCCACACACACCTAGGTGAAACAGAGGCAGCCATAGACTATGGTTCCTTTGTAGCTCCAAATAGGTGTCCCAGTGCCCGTCACAAGCAGCGCCTGACACTGACCTGCACCACAGTCCCTCCCAACAAGCCCCAGAACCAACACGCCTGGAGGCAACTTTCAGACCACATCAGGGTATGGCCCAATTAGCTCCACACACAACACAGCCAAAAGGAGAACTCGGCAGGCACCACACACTGCTGGGGTGTACTCTGCTTCCTTGGGCCACCCCTCACAGCACTTCTCACACTGTGGTTCAGTGTCATCTTAGTGGTCAGCCAGCATGAGGGCCACCTGAACCCAGGGATGGGCCAAAAGCAATCAGCACTCAACTACAAAAGGAGGGTTCACATGTTCCACACATGGACCATTCCTGGGACACCAGCTTAGGTGTCAGGGAGCCTGTCCTCTGAGCCCACAGCACACCTACTGTGTAAGGTCAGCACACCAGACCTGGAAGACAGAGCAGATGTACTGATTCACAGACTCTAATACAGGGAGGCAGCCAAACTGTAGAGACAAAAAAACAAGCCCCAAATGAGAGAACAAGAGAAACCCCCACAAAAAAACCCAATGAAATGCAGGCAAGGCATCTACCAGATACAGAGTTCAAAACAATGTTTATGAAGATGCCCAAGGAATTTACTGAGAACTTCAACAGAGAGACAGCAAGCATTAAAAAGGACATGGAAAACATAAGAAAATAGCCAGTCAGAAATGAAGTATACAATATCTGAAATGAAGAATACTCTAGATGATCGAACAGCAGATTAGGTGATGCAGCAAATCAAATCAGCAGTTTAGAATACAAGGTAGCAGAAAATACCCAATCAGAACAGCAAAATAAAAAAGGATTTTAAAAATTTAGAAGAGCACCCTAGCCCTTTGGCTTAGCAATTACAGGATTGGCCTGTGGACCAAAAAGTCACAAGTTCGATTCTAGTCAAGGGCACGTACCACAGTTGTAGTTCTTTCCCTGGGCTTAGTTGGGGTTGTGTGGGAAAAAAACCAATCGACATGAGACACATTGATGTTTCTTTGTCTCTCCCTCCCTTTCTTTCTCTCACCCTGACTGAAAATCAATGGAAAAATTTCCTAGGGATGAGGATTAAGAAAAAAAATCAAACCACAATGAACATTTTGTAAGATAGCCTACATGTTAGAACACAAAACATATTTCAACAAATATTAAAAAATTGAAATTATATCAAGCATCTTTTCCAACCAAAGTGATATGAATATACTTTCCCTTATGTTCATTTCAGCATTATTTACAGTAGCCACGATATGGAAGCAATTCAAGTGCCTGTCGATAGGCAAGGGTATAAAAGTTGTGGTACATATATATAATGGAATATTACTCGGCCATATTAAAGAATACAGTCTTACCATTAAAGAAAACATGGATGGAGCTAGAGGATGTTATGGTAAGTGAAATAAGTCAGTCAGTGAAGGACAAATACAACATGATTTTACTTATATATGGAATCTAAAGAATGACATAAATTTAAAAACGAAACAGAAAAAGCCTCATGGATTCAATGAACAGACTGACTGTTGCCAGAGAAGATGAGGGTTGGATGGCAGGGTGAAAAATGTGAAGGGAGTAAGAACTACAATTGGTAGTTACAAAAAGTCACAGGATGTGAAGTACAGCATAGGAAATATCATCAATAATATGTATGGTACTAGGTTGGTATTGGAAATGTCAGGAGGAACACGTTCTAAAATATAAACATTAGTCCATACACCTGAAACCAATATAAAATAACCTTAAATGTAAATTATGATTGATAGAGTAAAAGAAAATTCTAACCACACAGGCACGCACACACACACACACACACATACACACACAGAGTCAGTCACAGGTTGTATGTAGTACAGCACAGAGAATATAGTCAATAATATTGTAATAACTTATTTATGCTGACAGGTGGGTACTTAAATTATTGGCAGTATTTCTTTTAAAATTATATAACTGTCTAACCACTATACTGTGCACCTTAAACTAATATAAAATAATATTGAATATCAACTTTTATAGAAAAATTAGAAAATTGTTAAAGGTATTAAATATTTATATAGATTCCTAGAACTCAAGAATGACCTGGAATTTAAAAAAAATAAAGTGCATCTCCCACAGACTAGAAAAATGTATGGTACTATCTAGCACAAATCCAGAAAATAGGAGAGTAGAGAACACATCTTATTTTATTTTCTGAGGCCAAGCATATCATGAAACTAAAACCAGATGCAGAAATGATAAAAAAAAGAGAGAGAGAAAGAGAGAGAGAGAGAGAGAGAGCAAGAACTACAGACTAACATCCTTAATAAAAATAGTCACAAAAATCTCTTTTAAAAATATTAGCACATGAAACAGAAAAATATACATAAAATATATATTTTGGGGTTAATCTTAGCTGTGCAAAATTTGTTTACCATTTGATGGTAAACATTAGTGACTGTCAACAAATTACAGAAGATATATAATTATTTCAACAATTTCTGAAGGAGCACATGATAAAATACAACAACTAGCCATAATTATAACCTCTTAGCAAACTAGGAATAGTAAGACACTTCCTCCACCTGATTCAGCACATCTAGGAAAAAAACTTTCTAAAAACGTACTTAACAATAACAGACTAATTGTTTTTTACTTCAAATAAGGTATCACACAAGGATGTCAGTTCTCACTACTTCTGTTCAATATTATCTTGGAGACACGAGCCATTGCAATAGGACAAGACAAAGAAATAAAAGGCATACAGATTAGAAAGAACAAAGTAGAACTGTCACTATTTGCAGAAAATGTGATCAAGTGTGTAGGAAATGGCAAGGACTATGAAAAAGGTAGTAGAACTAATAAGAGTATTTACACAACTGCAGGATACAGGGTTATAGTCATCATTCAACTGTATATTTATTTTCTAGCAATGAGCAATGGAAAATTACATTTTATAAATAATACATTTTAAAATAGAACACTTAAAAGTAAGTTAAAATAAAAGATGCTCATGACTGATACACTGAAAATTGTGAAAAGATGTCAATACCAAAATAAATGCAATGTTTGTGGATTGACAGATGCAATATTGTGGGGGTTTTTTGTTTGTTTTATTTTGTTTTAATTTTTTATTTATTTTTTTGTTACAGATATTTTACCTTTTTTACCCCATTGGCATCTCCCTGCCCACCCCACCCACGCCCCGTCCCCAGCTTAGTTGTCCATGTCCATTGGTCATGCATACATGCATATAAGTTCTTTGGTTTATCTCTTTCCACCCATCCCCCACCCCCTCTTCTGAGGGATGTCAGTCTGTACCATACTTCCATGTTTCTGGGTCTACTGAATTCGTCAGACTGTTATGTTCATTATATTCAATATATAAGTGAGATCATGTGGTATTTGTCTTTTTCTGCTTGGCTTCTTTCACTTAGGATGATACTTTCCAGGTCCCTCCATGTCGTCTCAAAGGATAAGAGATCTTTCTTTCTTACCACTGCATAGTACTCCATTGTGTATATGTACCACAGCTTTTTCATCCATTCATCTACTGATGAACACTTGGGCTGTTTCCAGATCTTAGCTATTGTAAATAGTGCTGCTATGAACATGGGGGTACATATATTCTTCCTGATTGGTGTTTCAGGCTTCTTATTTTATATTCCTAGAAGTGGGATCACTGGGTCAAATGGAAGTTCAATTTTTAATTTCTTGAGGTAACACCATATTGTTTTCCACAGCAGCTGCACCAGTCTGCATTCCCACCAGCAGTGTATTAGAGTCCCCTTTTCTCCACACTCTCGCCAACACTTGTTGTTTGATGATTTGTTGATGGTGGCCATTCTGACAGGTGTGAGGTGATACCTCATTGTTGTTTTAATTTGCATCTCTCTGATGATTAGTGATGTTGAGCATTTCTTCATATGTCTCTTGGCCATTTGTATGTCCTGTTTGGAGAGGTGTCTATTTAGTTCCTCTGCCCATTTTTTAATTGGGTTCTTTGTCTTCCTTTTGTGGAGTTGGATGAGCACTCTCTATATATTGGAAATTAACGCCTTATCTGATACATCATTGGCAATGATGGTCTCCCATACAGTGGGTTGCATTTCCATTTTGATGATTGTTTCTTTTGCTGTGCAGAAGCTTTTTAGTTTGATGTAGTCCCATGTGTTCATTTTTCCTTTGTTTCTGTTGCCTTAGGTGATGTATCAGTGAAAATTCTGCTTCGTATGATGTCCGAAATTTTGTTGCCTACATTTTTTCTAGAATTTTTATGGATTCACGGGTCACATTTAAGTCTTTTATCCATTTTGAGTTTATTTTTGTGTATGGTGTAAGTTGATGGTCTAGTTTCACTTTTTTGCATGTAGCTGTCCAATTTTCCCAACACCATTTATTAAAGAGGCTGTCTTTACTCCACTGTATGCTCTTGCCACCTTTGTCAAATATTAATTGAGCGTATTGCCTTGGGTCCATTTCTGGGTTTTCAGTTCTGTTCCACTGGTCTATATGCCTGTTCTTGTGCCAGTACCAGGCTGTTTTGGTTACAGTCGCTTTGTAGTATAACCTGATATCTGGTATTGTGATCCCACCTACTTTGCTCTTCTTTTTCAAGATTGCTGTGGCTATTCGGAGTCTTTCTTGGTTCCACATGAACTTTTGAAGTATTTGTTCTAGTTCTATGAAATATGCCGTTGGTATTTTGATGGAGATTGCATTGAATCTATAGATTGCTTTGGGTAGTATGGACATTTTAATGATGTTAATTCTTCCAATGCATGAACAGGGTATGTGCTTCCACTTTTTTAT